CGTAAATGGGCGAAATTTCAATCAGCAGTTGCCGAAAAAGAGAAGAAATTGAATGACGAAGAAAGTGTGCCTATGAATGAGCAAAAGCAGATCAAAGCTTAGATGAATATCTAGTTTTCTTTGTTGAACTTCCGTCCACTGTGATTAATCTCAATAGTCATTAATATCAATATTTCGCACAATTAATTAATATATGTTGCCAATGAAATTTATACAATTTTCTTTTTCGTTGAATGTTAGTTACTGTTGTATTTTATTTATTCGTTGTATTTATTGGTGCAATGTCACTTTAGATGTATTTTCCCCGTTCTAGTCATTTTATTTATAACACTCATATATACATATAATAAAAATAATTCTATGTTTGAAAGGAAGCTTTCTTTTCTTTTTGGATGGGTAATTACGAGTTTTGAGATAATTGCATGCTGGAATAGCCGTTTGAAGATTTGCGTTCGAGACAAACTTGTTGTAATATTCTTCACGCTTCTAGATGATTCCAATCACTAATTTTGTCTATCGACAATGCTCAGCGTTGTCTACTCGACAATTTTTAATAATTAGTCGAACGTATAAGTCGAATTTATCGTATGATAAATTGTTTCCTAAGTCCCAATCACTTGACGTGTTATCTGGACCAATCCAAGCGGTAAGATGGAAATGCAAAGACTTACTAGAATCGATATTTCAACAACTTTTAGCCAACGAGTGAATCGAGTGGAAAGGAAAAATTCAATGGATTTATTCCAATAGGTAAAAGGAGATTCGTTTAGACAAATGACGTTTAATTCATTGTTTAGATAAACTCGACGTTACTCATCGACATGCGCGAGGTCCGGGTGGTCAGCATGTGAATAAATGTAAGTGGTACAATGTATTTAGATGATTTGATTTCAGGTTCTTTCAACTAGCATTAACCGGAGTGGAAATTCGATTTCATGTCGAGTCGGCAACATGGATACCTGCATCGATAAAACCTCGTTTTCGTGATATGGTTTGTTTCATTAATATCTATTTCAGAGATGATACTCGACATTGAACTTTATCTTTAGAATCACACACGTATTAATCGCGATGGTTACTTTATAATATTCTCCGATGAAACGCGTCATAGTTTGCTGAATCAAGCACACTGTTTAGATCGAATTCGCGCTCTAATTCGGGAAGCAAGTCTCGTTCCGAAAGGATTGAGTGATGAGGAGAGAAAAACTATTGAGCAGAGGTAAATTATCGTTGAACAGAATGACTGTCAGTCTGATATTCTATATATGTGTTTCAGAAAGAAAGCTGCATCTCAGGAACGTGTGATTCGTAAGCGAATTCAATCAATGCATAAACAAGAACGAAAGCCGTCCTCTACAGATTTAAATTAAGACTCGAACATGGTTTGTTCTTTGTTTTTTTTATATATTTGTTGTAATAGAAAACAAGTGTTCACTTAGAAATAATATATTGAAGTGATATGCACAGGATGGCAAAAGTAAAAAAAAAATTTTCTACTGACATGAAAATCTTTGTTGTTCTTAGTAGATTTGCTCGTTTTTGCTACATATCTCATCGCATAGTTACAGTCTTGTATTATGTTGTTTTTGCGTCCCGCTGGGTTTCCGTTGAATGAGAGTACATTGATGCCGAAGCAATCGGTAAATCATCTCCGCAACTTCCATTAATGAGAGAAAACTGATACCAATCCAGAGACCTGTCTGACCGCCGATGTTTGAAATAACATCAACAGCACCAAGTGTGGCTTGTTGTGTGTAACTTTCGACAGTTGTAGATTCGCAAATAATGTCGACACTGACGAAATTCCCTCGAATTTCTTCTTTCCATGTTTCATTCCAAGTCGACGTTAATGGAATAGAAGTTGATTCAACAAATTGTTTGATACTATTCATAGACCAAGGAGGCGGTGCTAAGCCAGAAGATATTTTCAGCACAAATTGAGTGCTTGAGCATTCCAAACCACAATCTGGGGCATATTTCTCATAAATAGAAGCGAAACTTTGAAAAGCAGAGATTGCCTCTGCATAACATGGATCGGATACATTGCATAAACTAGCGTAAACTGTTGTCGTAGATCCAAATGGAATAACATAACGACTCCCCCATTGAAAAGGGTTCACACAGCCGCATTGTTGGTATCTAAGAATAAGGTAGTGTATGAAAAAAGAGTTAATTCTATCTGGAATATTCATACGTATAAGCCTGTATAGCAACATCATAGCATAACTGTTGCGAATAACCATAGTTAGCTTCGGAAAACTGATCATAAAATGTTTGCAGTCGAGGTGTAATCTGATCAGCACAGGTCGTGTAGGGTGATGGCAAGAAAGTGTTTTGTCTCTTGTAATAGCCAAGTCTATGTTTACGACCAGGGGCCAATTGGATGCCAAAAGCTTCTACACGAGGCAGCTGTGTATTGTCGTGTACCATTGCTACTAAACTTATAGCTAAATATGAGTGATAGCAAACGATAGATGAACCATCACAAAATCAGTTAGTTATCTTACCTTCACTTAGATGCGGAACGTATTGTTGACTATGTATGTAAAGATCCAAATGAAGTTCGCCACTATATCCGTTTTCATTATTATAATGTATGCTATTATTATTAATACGAGGCGATTGAGCATTGAATGTATAACATGAACCGTATACAGGCGAAGCGAATTGCACGAAATCATTGGCGGAACAATTCATACCATTGTAAGTACATTTAATCAACATTGAACTCAATGGATAATAGAACTGATTCAACGATTCGTTTCGATTGAGTATATACTGCATGTAATCCATGATGTATGATGCTTGTTCCTCGGTGAATGTCGTGATATCATTTGTATTAGTTAAATTCAATGCATTTGTATAATTAAGAAAAGGTCCAATGAATTGATCGTATCGCAATGGAGAATTGTTACAGATGGTCACAGCGGCAAACGTCTGTGGCCATATATCAGCAAATCCTATTAATGTTAGTGTAGGATATTGGAAATAGGCAAGAACTGCTTGAATGATAAAGTAGCACATAATGCCCAAAAATGCTAAGAAGGAAATGAGCCAAAACATTCGGTTGTGCATACTTTTACTGCGCGCAATACCGGGGATGCCATGGGTTGAAGTATTTAGACTAAACTCTTTGATGATGTCCCGATGTTGATTGTACCTTGCAGGTGCTTGTAATGCGCTGCGGTCTATCGGAAATACAGTAGTAATATTCTTGATCGTGGAATTCAACATTGAGAATCACTGTTCTCTAGATGATTTCTCGCTTTGTGTTGATGTCGCTGACAAGTAGGTTTCAATTCTCTGTAAATATAGCATTCGCCACAATATTTATATAATTCAACTGAAAAGATCAGTGGCATAATTTCTCTGGTATATTAACTGAATAAACTATATAAGTGCGCAAAATATCATGCGTTCCGACCTCTTAGAATCATGACATTGAATCAATATTTGTAAGAAAGAGAGGCTTGTTTTTATTCACAGCTCTTGTAACGTACTCAGACAGAAAAACTAGTCATTAAGTACAATTATACATCTGTGAAAAGTGTGACGAATAATCTAATTCAGTAAAACAAGTTTTAATCGAACAGAATAATAACTCTTCACCGATCTGTAAATCTGCTCAAGCATCAAAACTTGGAGTGACAACCGCAACATCGAGTATCGTCTGTTACGTATAACTCTCTAGATGAAGTTCATTGCTTTATTTAGCTTCGTAGACGCTACTGGTCACTCATCCTCGTAAGTATATCTGCACTTACATATCTTTTATATTTATAACATATAGGCAATAAGCGAAACCATATAATTTTCGAGTTCTAGGCCTTGATAATGACTAATGCTCATGTGAATGTTACTCTATACACAGTCTAGTACATTACGATACTAATATTATCACTCTCGAAATTATACTTCGAGTGCAAATAAAACTTTCTAGAAAATTAGTAGTATCGAAACATTTACGGATACAAAGCTTGAATAATAATAGTATCCATCGCAAGAATAAATGCTTGGTCTTCAGTCCCATCGACTTCCACTTGATAACAATCATCCACAGCGATATATTTTCTCTTTATAACCGCTACTACACGTTCATTTTTCGTTAATTTAAGTACATGAACGATCAAGTCCGATACTTCCAATTTATATTCATCATACACGAAATTTACGACCCATTTCTCACGTAGCGTAAGGTTCTACTTGATCGCTGCAAGTTCGTGATCTACTTCACCATCTTGATTTGATAGTTGTCTTTGAGCAAGAATATCTTTACCGAGATTTTGTAACAGCGAGTAGCTGCTGCTTCTCCTCTCAGAGTGTCAATGGCTGAGTATTTTTGTGCTATGACTTAAAATATTGTCTGCAATTGATAATAGTTAACCTGTCACTTGCACAATTCGATGTTGCTGTACTGAATACAAGACTATTTTTACAGAAATGTATGCAAAATTAAATCTGATCTATATAGTTTAGTTGTTTTTCTCTGTTTTATTTTTATCGCTTCTTCATTTTGATGGGTAATATTGAAAGCTGAGCCCTTCTCTTTTTTTCCTCTTGCTTCGACATAATTTTTCAGACGTCATTACTGAACGACTAAAGACATAGTTAGCATTGTTTGAGTAACGTAATAGAAGATTTTTTTTCTCTAAAGTTTTTAGACTATCTACCTCGTTGATATCGGTGATCACTCAAACTATTCATAGAGAAAATGGATATATATACACAACGATTTCTTATTAATTTGTTTTCAAGCATTGAAAAAACCGAATCCACCGATGCATAATAAAAATAGTTCGTAAAATATGCAAAAAAAAAGCAAATAGTAATTGATGACAATGGTGACATAGTCGACTATTTTGAGAGTGAAGGTGTATTTAGCTTCGAAAAGAAAATAACTGAATGAATTTGCACTAATCGTGTATGTCAACAAATAATTCGATTTTTATTCGATACTTTCATGAGCTTCACACTGGTGTACAACTGAAAAAAGTAGTGTACTACACTTCCAGTTTTATTCTATCATAGATTTCTCCTCCGATGTAATATTCGTTGAGTGTTGATATCGTCATTACAGGTTCCAATGCTGCTCCCTGTTGCCATGTCTTGTATTGCATTTCGAATTCTTGTACTTGGGCTTGTTTACTAGCTGCACGTGCACAACATAACTTTTCGCATATAATCGAACGTTGAAATTCCTTCACATAGTATCGATTCGGTAAAATATACATAAAAAACGTTAACATTTGTGGAATATGAACACAAAGAATGAATGCAGTATGAAGATACATGTAGAATCGATTTGACAATAGATCGTGTGTATTCAAAACATAGCGTAAGATGGCGTATGGAGCTGAACAGAGAATAATAAGCAGCGATGGCCAAAGAATATCCCGATATAATAACCAATTTTGGAACCAGTTCTGCTTGTGCTGTTGCATTTTTACGAATAGGAATGTCATACATATTAAATGAATGATACACGCAGTAAATACATAAATATAAGAGGTGAAATTGTTGAAATCGAGCCAAATCCGATGTGTATAGTCTTTAAAAGTGCAGTAGAATTGGTCCGTCCGATTAGTGATTGCATGACGAGCGAAGATTTTGTCAAGATTCGATATTGAAACAACGATAAGAAGATTAAACGTAGCAAACAAAGCACATTTACGAGATCGAAACCGATCGAAACAAAAACATCGATATAGAATGTTCTCAACAGTAATCGCTGCGCTCATCAGAATACTTGTATTACTGAAAATAAGAAACAAATATGGATAAATATGGCAAATCCATTGACTGAAGAAAAATCCATTCGGTAGAAAAGTAATAAGGATATTTATCAAAAACAAAGCCATAGTGATCAATCCACATAATGCATACATGATCAAATAAACTCCATTCACAGTAAATCGTATACGATCATGTAGGAATGTTACCAAACAGATGATATTGTTCATTAAACCAAAACAAGCAAAGAAAATCACAATGAGAAAGTAAGATCGACGTAATACGGATGCATCATAGATCAATTGACTGAACGATGGCAAGGTTTGACCATTGTATCGAATCTCATGAACTTTACCAGCTATATTAGCACACATATTCGCCAGACATGGACCATGTCCAGTACAACTATCAGCATCCACGCATAATTTCATTGCGAAGCGTGCCAAGATCAAACGTCGAAAACAACTGATAACTTTATTCCGGACTCTATGAATGTTCGATTTGCATAGCGGAAAGCTTCTACTTCATTCAATATGAATAAAAACCATTTTCTATTCCGATTGTTTCTTTTTTTTACTCTATGCTAATGTGCTCTTTCACTTGATTTAACTATTGTCTGTACAAAAGTTTGTTTTCTTGGATTTTATTACTAAATAAAACTTGAAATAAAATAACGGATGCTAAAAGAAAACTGTTTGGAAACAGCTTGTTTACAATCGCATTGATTCACTCATTGTATTTGCTAAATCTTGACGGTAATGACTATGTTCATCCGTGCTTGATGTATCATGCAAACAACGATCAAAGTTCGCATCGTGAATGTGATTGATTGGCGTAGATGATTTGTATCGATAGAACGAAAGATCTTCAACTAATACCTGAGCTGGTCCTACGAAATAGAAAGACGAGAGATAGTTGGAAAAATAAAACGATATTCAACTGACCTTTGCCGAATGTTTTACAATGTTCTGTAAGTAAATTCAAAACCTTGTCATGACGATATTCAAGAAACGTTCGAATATCATCCAAAGAGAAATCTTTTTCCGCTGCATAATAGATCGATGTTAAGGCAGGTGCCAGGAATGGCCATTTAGCACGAAGATTGACTAGTTCTTCGTACATTCGATATCTGTCACCGTTGCCAAAGAAGCCCTTCTCCCAATCAGGTTGATCATTGATCGTTGATATATTCGAATCTGTATCACGTTCATTCTCATCATTTGCCTGTCTGTCGTCGAACATATTTGATGCGTACTTTGTTCGTAATTCGATGATTCGTTTAGCTGAAAGAAACTGTTCAGCTGATAAGGAGCCTTTTAACTCTAACGCATCGTTATCGAATGTATTCAATGCGTCAGCTAAACGTGACAATTTCATTTGAGCACGATCATCCATGTATTGTAAAACATTTTGATTAGCTTCGTTGATGCGTCTGATAATATCACGTTGCATAGCTTCCGCTTTGGCACGTGCATCAGCACGTTGTCGTTCAATAAATGAACGAACTTCATTTTGACTCTGTTGTCGATTGAGTTCCATCTACGAAGACGAAATGAAATAGACATGATGGCGGTTTTGTCGAAAATGTACTTGTTTAGCGATGTCATTCATCTCTTGTAAAACATATCGTTTGTGCACTCGAACACACATATCACAGTAAGCTTTTTGGCAATGTTTACATCGATGTCTTGCTGGTGAGGTGCACGATGGTTCCACACAAGTTTGACCATCGAGCGATAAACGTTGAGCATGGTAATCAGACATTGTCAAATCTGAACAGATAATCAGACGTCTTTTTCTCCTATAGTCAAAATTCGACTATATCTTACTTACTATTGATGTTTATATTGGATGTGTCAAGCGAATGCAATGAATGCGCACGATTCTTCTTCTGTAGTATATATGTACATCGAAGATCGAGGTATATCGATTCTATTTTCGACGATCCTAACCGCCGGTATATGTTTGCACTCTCCTGTTCTGTTATAAATGATTCATTGATATGTCTACATGTTTATTTGAAATTCTTAGAATAAAGCTTTTTTTTACAATATGGACATTTCGAGTTCATTTTCACATCATTAAAGACCTCGTGACATCGGTAGGGCAATGTTGAGCGGCTGTGCAATTGGCCTTGCTGTTGATTTTTCGTTCATTGTAGTTCCAAACCAGAAAGCAAGTATGATCGAAGCGAAATACGCAAATGCATGACCAGTAACAACTAATTCATAGCTATAGCCGATAATTCTCGCGTGACGTAAATAGCTTGCCGTAGAGATCAAAAGAAAGAGTGTACCAATGATTAGTAGACACAATGGAATGCATCGAAATTTCCGTGGAAATGCCCGGATAAGTAAAATAATAAGTAGAACGAAGCTAGCCACAAGACAGAAGAGAGATAAAATTGTCAGTGTCGCTGTCGAAGGTGAACAAACATTGTTACAATTCCATAGACCGTAACCATTTCTTAACCATTTCGGAGTAGTCAAACCGATCAATGTAAACAATGTCGCAACTCCAGCAATAGCTGCAGTGATTGCTAAGATTGTTGATTCACTTAGTTTCATGTCACGTATGGATGAAACAAAACAAGATGTCAACACGAATAAGACCAATGGCTCAACGTAAAGTTCAGCGTGTACAATAGTAAAAATGTAACACGATGAGAAGAACGAACAAGGATAGAATAGATATGTTTAATACTAAACACTTCCCACAACGATAGAATCAATTGTCTTTGAATTCGATTAATCTATTTCGATAGCAAGTCGAAATAAAAAGATTAAGACCGGTTAGTCAGAAGTACCGAAGAAGCATGACAATGTTTTCTTCTCCAAAGGTCATTGAAAATCGCTTTCTTCGAGTGAGTTAATAATGAAATTAATTGTAAATTTAAAATAAAAAAACGAATGATTTATGTTCGTGACTTGTGTAGTAAAGATCAGTGCATAGTTTAATACCAATTGAATACATGACATTTATACGCCTCTTCTCTCTAATAGACAAACGAACGTATGACACCTACGATCTCTTGCGAACGATGTCCTATTCTCTTTTACTTTTATTTCATAAGTAACAACAAGACAATGTTTTCCTAAGAATTTTCGATTTCTTGAAATCTAAATACGAAACAAAATAAGTATGAAATATCCATCGAATATATCATTATGAATACATACGAGCATTTCGGACACAAATAGAAAACTGTTTGTCCTTCTACAATACACATGAAAAATAGACGCTTAGTAATTTGAATTCAAATAACGAATAAATTACCATCAGCTGAACGTAATTGTCGCGTCGTAAACGCCATTTCGTCATTTCCACAACGCGGACATTTTCGTTGAATCTAATTCGCCACATTCGTCTACTGATAAAACCAACTCTCAAATCCACTTACCATTGTTCCTTCAACTGTATCTCCAGCATCGGATTCTTTTCTTTCATCGCGAGTCGATCGAAAATCGACATGAACGGTTGATTGCGCTCCATGAAAAACTATTCAAACAATGTTCTTCCATCAAAATCAAAAATCGTTCCAAACCTGATATATCTTGAATTTTCCTACACAATAAACATTGAATCATTGATGAACCATCCGGTAATGGTAAGATCGTTCCGCAAGCTGGACAAAAGTCTTGATCGAATGTGTTACTCATCTAATGAAATAAAACATCTTTCCTAAAACTTGTCGTCAAGGTGTATTTGATCAGAAATTGAAACTCTAGTTTGGTTTTATTTTCGAGAATAAAAGAAATACATCACACATGTGCATGAAAAAAGAAAAATAGAATTCTGCTTGTTCGTTTTTCTTATGGACGAAAGAAGCGTTTCGCTGCTAGTCTCGCGGTTTTCTTCGTGCCGCCTTGTTTCGAATCTGCATTACCGCTTAACATACTTGGTAAACCTTGCAATGTGCTTGAATTATTATTATTTTCATTATTATCACGACGACCTCCGCTCTGGGCTTGTAAGTCAACAATTTTGATCATAGATAACATTTCTTTGTCGTATTTATCCTGTTCGTCTAATGCTTTCTTCTTCTGTTCATTGGCTTTCGTTGCTTCGTATTTCAGCACATTCAGTAAAGCAGAACAGTTCTTACACCATTTGTCTAAAACGTCTTCCATGCGATCGAAGGCAACGGAATTGATATCACGTGCAATCGCATATTCGACATTCAATCGTTCATTCAATTGATCTAATTTACCACGAATGACTTGAGCATAGATTCCATCGATGATCAAATCTTCCAATTCACGCACGCTTTCGATCTGGAGTTGTTTCAATAAAAGTGTATAAGGTAACATACGAGCATGCACAGCAAGTGATGCCAATGTTAACAATTGTAATTTACGTCGTGCTAATGGAGACAACGTGATAAAACGATCGCGATTGGATTCATAATCCGGTAAAGTACCATAGGCGAATAATTCTAATGTGGACAACAGTTGGATGTGATCGGCGGTGAGTGATTTAACAAGTGGTTCGAGACGGAGAAATTCGTCGAAGCCGAAGATATCCGGATGTTCGAGCACACGAGTGACTAAGTCAACGGCAGCTGAACCACGTACTGATTTCGCTAGTAAAAGAAACTGTTGAGCGGCCTGTGAGGACATCTGAAATTTATATAGAGAGGACTAGACTATAGGAAAAGAAGAGAAAGAAGAAAATTCGCGATGTGTGTAACAACAATATATTCGTTCGTCGATTCTTCGCTCGGACGTGAATGGCTGAATCATCAAGCGCGATTTTACAAAATACAGGCAACTGTAATTCAACGATTCGACAAGTTCTTGTCGATGTTGAACATCTCATGGATATGCTTCAAACTGAACTTCATCAAACCAAATCTTCGAAAATCTCCGAATCGTTATCTTCATCGATCACCATGACGAATGTGACAATAACAGATGAGAATGATCATCATCAACTTATTGAACATCTTCGTCACCGCATTCTCCAACTAGAACATGAACGAAATGTTCTTCTAACTTCCTACGAACTACTAATCAAACTTCTGAAATGAAACAAGAAACAAACTGATATGTATACATTTTTAAACAACATTCCATTTGAATCGTTTCTTTCTCTCGCTCTTTCTTCGAAATATTTTACAAATAAACAATGTTATGCGTGACGAATCTTGCAATTTCGTAGTCCGTGAAGATTTTTGCGAAAACGATCAAAGACAAAATCATCTGTCGCTGTTTCAGACAGAGGTTTTTCTGGACCAGTATCTGTTTTCGGATCTAAACAAAAACGTCATTCCATCTGAAAGAATTATCATCTTTCACCATACCTCTCAACAGAGTCGGATGTTTTTCTTTGTTTCCAACAACAGGTTGAGGTTTGACAATGTCTTTTATTTGATTCTGTTTCAATTTTTTCGAATTTACACCATCTGCGCCATCGGTGTTGACTAAAAAAGTAATGAGGACTATGATTGATGCTTTTCGTATTTCTACTTACATCGTTTGTGTTGTACAAAACTAATTGCAGTTGGTTTCGCTGGTGAAGCTGAATCATTGTCAGGCAAAGTTACCGATGATGATGTTTGGGCAATAACTGCAGCCAGTTTCTTTTCTATGCCCTTCCTGTCGCGCATCGTTTGAATTAATTTACGCTTAGCTTTATCTGTTTCTTCGATATTGCGAATTTTTTCTCTAAAGCAAAAAAATACAAAATTTCGCTACATTGTCTCTAATCGATTTGTACATACTCAACACCGATATCGACTTCTGGTATTCCACTCAACATTTGTTCCGAAAGCATCTCTTCAGATGCTTGTGTCGAATGATCAGTGATCAGATGTTTACTAACATGGAAAAGAGTATCTTCGGGCTTTTTCAGCGTGGCGAATACGGCTGTTAATTCGTTATTAGACGCTGAATTGAGTCCCGAAGATGAATTCGAAGATTTCTGCTGTATTTTAGTAAGTTGTTCTTCAATATAACGTTGCATTTCAGTATCTTCATCACGCGTATTGGTTTCTCGAGCAAAGTTGTCATTGATCGTACTCAAATCTTTTGATCGTTGTTGCTGTTGTTTGACCGTATTCATTTCGACAAGACCGCCAGTTTTCATTTTAAAAGGATCATTTGACTACAAAACAAATTCATTGATCAACACCAACACTGAAGGAATACTCGGTGCTTACATCTGTTTTCCTCGAAGAAAATAATGGATTTGGTTGTTTCCCAAGAGCAAGTTCTTCGGCTGAGAGGCCATTTTTACGCTGTCGAAGCTTTTGAAGTAATTTCAAATCTTCAATATTAGTTCTACGCGAGACAAACAAAAATAAAGAAAACGATTGCCTCTTATCGATTGTGCATACCCATTATCCGATTCTTGGTTTGTATTCGCTTCATTACTATCATCATCGTTCGGTCGACTGTTATTATCTTCATCATCGCTATCCTGTCGTCGACGGATATGCGCTCTCCGAGACATATTTTACTGGAGAATAGATTATAATTGTAAAAACACAGATGAAATGAAGAAAGGTGTTTCCCTATAGGAGCAACTGTTCGTATTGAATGACATTTGCAGCCAATGGCAAATTTTGTTCAATGACGTATAGTTATGTATGTCACTAGTGTACAGTCGACTTGTCATATTTGGTTATATGCAGGAATCAATTACAATTTTGTCATAACAAAGTAAGAGCGCCTAGATCATTGATTAGCAATGGCCTTCGATTGTTTTGTTTGAAATATTCAAATGAATCTATTCATTCATTTTGAGATATATAAATACAAAAAAAGAAAGTGTCAAATGCTCACTGTTGTAAATTCAATGAACTGAAAAATAACTATTGTTCCATTGATTTGTTCTAACACTCGTTTTTCTTCTCTTTCTTCTTCTCTCGTGCAAATTATACATGATCAATGACAATCGACATGCTCTCTGCGTTTAGACAAATGAACTAACACACAGTTGTCATCATAGGTTCAATTCATTTCTTATCTTTTCCACTTCATACTGTCCATTTTTATATGATTGAGGGAAGAAAAAAGACAACAAGACATTGACATCAAATATAGTTCAATCAATACATGCACGAAAACGAGGTCAATATTCTATACACTTGACTGATTCTATTCAATCAGGAGATGCGATCTTATCGATAATTTTAATTTCCCCTGTTCGTTCGACCTTCATATCATAGTAGTTGATTTGAATGGGAAAGAGCCGGCATTAAACAGCGATTCAGTGACGTTAAGCGAGCACAATCTTTGATTTGTAAAGATGTTATATGTTGAAATTGACATGGATTTGATATCGAAGATTTATTTACGTGTTGTGGTAATTTCTTTCGATTAGTTAATATTGAACCACACGATGAACTGCGATTTGTGCTTTTAGAAAATAAATGCTTATATCGTGTATCATTCCGGATGGAGATGTAATACGAAAAGAATTCTTTCGATGCTAACAGGTTCGTGAAGCGAAGTACGCCAAGGGTAATCTTATCGGATAAACGAAATGTAATATGTTGTTCGCGTGCTTGCTTTATATCGCTGTGTCCATTGATGGTATCTTGCCAAATGGGAAAACCGGAACCGTATTCGGCGAGAATTAACGATAAATGTGATTGACGTTTCGGATGATTGCCGGAGTCGAGTAACCAAACAGGTGAGCCATACTGAAATAGGATCCAGTCTTCTAGTTTGGCTAATCGTTCAGCGGTAGTGATGTACAGTTCACAGAGGCAACGACTGGCATAGACTTGTGTACCAATACTGCGAAAGGATGATTCGATGCGAAGGACTTCATCGAGAGAGAGAAGCGTCGTTTGTGGACATTGATTGTCATCATCGAACTTCTTGTATGATAATGACTTACGCGACACTAAAATAGAATTTCTCACAAAGTTACTAATCCGTGTTGCTCTCTCCTTGGTCTTTCGCAACTTACAAGTCGATGTCATCGGCTTCAATTGATGTTCGTCTTCATGTGTTAATCGATCGCAACTTTTAGCTCGTTGGTCCGATCGTTTGTCTGGCGTTTCCTGAAGGAGGTCGGTAAAGCGTTTTTCAATTGTTTCAAGCTCTTCGCAACTAAGCCAACTTTCGTCTTTACGATGATAGTCACTTTGCTGATTGTTGACTAATGGTGATACACGTGCGACAGGTGTTTGATAGATTCGACTGGTTTGATAAGGCGGTTGTTGAACCTTCAATGATTGCATTGAACGATAGTCTGGATTGTTTGATTTTGATACATGTAATGACGAAGTCGCAGAACGAAGTGTCGTAAACGTTGAAGATGATGACGAGGAATAAATATTCGAATGAATATAGTAATTTGTAGATGATGTAGATGATGAAGCCGTTGATGATGATGACGAAGCTGCGGAGTAACGGTTCAAAGATGTGTTTGGCATTGTCTTAAGTAGCAAAGAAAACAATTGATACGATGATTTGTTTGCTGCAGCGAACAGTGAGATAGTCTAAGAGAAGTTAGAAAAGATCTTGTATAATCATTGACTGATCGACCATCTATGAGAATATATTTGTTATTGCACTTGTTCTTCTTCTCCCTCTCCTTTTCCTCTCTTTCTCTCTTAATTGTTATTTGAAAAGATGACCAAGGCGTAGATGTATGTCAACATGGTATACAGCTGCGAAGCGTTCGATTGCAGTGACAAGCAGAGAGAAGAACACAACAAAATAAAGAAAAAGAAGAAACAGAGCGAACAGAGTATCAAGTATTTATCACAGGAAATTCTTTCGTTGAATGGTATAAAGAAGACGCACACAAACTCATACGTTTGTTATCATTTGAAGGAAGACATAGGTGAAATGTATAATCAATCGAAAATAGCGTGAACAAACATATCATCTAGGTCACTTTCAATTATCTCGATGTAATGTTACACTTGAGATGATATCCGACAAACGTGTACATCGACACGCACAATTTCACTTAATCATGTCAAGTTGAAAACATGAATGTAGACTTATTAATAACTTCGATCGAAATCGAACACGAAAACAAACGACATCTCTCAACTCATATAGCTATATTCGTCCCGCTTCTCGACTAAGATGACATCATCCTTCCAGCAAACAATCAATTGATTAGTATCCATCTACTCTTTCCAAACATACTAGCTGTCTTTATGTAATACTGAGCTGATCATTAGTAGCCCTTGTTTCTATTATCTCTTGCGTCTGTCTGGACATCCTCTTCTTTGATTATATTACTTCTCGATTACGTAGACATGTGTTGATTTAATAATGTACTATTCGTTGTATCATCTTTCTCTTTACATATAGATATGTTTCATTTTCATCTTCCTACCTGTCTGCTCTTTGGCCATTCAGATACGTCATTGTCATATATTGACGTAAAACTACGATTTGTCTGACCTTTTCTCTATGGATGATCTTATCTTTTGCACAATTATGATCAAACGCTTCATTTTCAATCACGATCTATTACGTACAGATGCAAGTTTTCGTAATTAAAATATTCAATTTATTGCAACAAAGAAAACAAGTTACACAACAAATGCCAAAGTATCTTTCATGCACAGTTCGTACGATAGCCATCACACTGAAAATTCATTATTTTCGTCATCGCTAGCGTCATTGATCGGCTTCGGACGTTGCACTTGAGTTGAACGAGTAGTCAGAGAAGTTCGACGACGACGAACACTCTGTTGATAACTAGAAACAGGCATAGACGGGTTATCTTCAAGCGGAGAGGTGCCTAAGTTACTTGCTATGCGAATGCTCACGATTTACTGGGCGACAACGACGACGATCGTAAACATTATCTGTAGGTGAAACTTTCTGACGTCGTACTACTGAAGGTGGAATTAATTCACTGTCATCCCGCACTGTTAAGACTAAAGAGAAGCAACGAAATAGGCATATGATCGATATTGCAAGGGGTTACTTACTTGTTTGCGTTCCTGTTGATGACCGCTTCGCATCTAAAAGATACGGACGACGTGCGATTGAAGTAGAGGAAAAAATGATCTTACCGGTGCCGCACAATAGTTTATTCCAGAATCCAGTTTTCGGCTTTTCCGTCTTATTCCTTGTTGTTTGAATGGTGAAATTACTGTTGAAATATGCCTAGAAAGAAAGATTGTCTTCATTGAATCGATCTAGCTCATTTATTCACTTACTTGATTAATATAGAGTTTATCAAAGTAGATCCCTGCATCGGCGAGGGATCGTCGAATGGTGGCCATATCGTCAGTAGCAATATTTCGAGTCATGTTGATTGTGATGAAAGTCGATAGAGTCCGTGATAATTTATATTTTCTATCTCTGATGAATTGCCAATTATGACGCTCCTAATTGATGAGATGATCGTTAATGAAAACATATCAATTAGAGAAATCAATGATTGTGTTCATTTATATTTTCAAAGAGGCGAATTTTATTTGAAATGAAGTCATGTGGGTACACTAAGCGTTCACAATTGTAAATGAAAGAATCTGCTACTGACTGGCACTTGGGACGTATTCAACCCGATACAAACGTCCATTTCCGTCTTCACTAAAGAGTAAACTACCATCTTTCATTTCTAATAGGCCAACAGGTCGACCAAACGTTGTTGGGCCTTGTGGGTCGATGAGAAATCCTTTCAAGAATTCTTCATAGTAACCAAGTGGACGATTGTCGTCACCGAATGGAATAAAAGCAAGCTTATAACCCGTACCAGCGTGTCGATTCCATGAACCGTGAAAGGCAACAAAGGCGCCGTTTTGATAATGGCTTGGAAATTGAGTACCACGGTAGAATTGCATATCGAGGGCAGCCGAATGAGCTTGAAAGAGAACGTCTGGTGTTCGTGTGCGTTCAACTAGATCTGGGCGTTCACTTGTACCATTGGGAAAGCGTCGTCGTGGATCAACATTTTTTGGCGATAAATAAGCTAAAAAAAGGGGCACATAAGTGAAACAGGGAAGGACGAATGAAGGTTCACCATTTACCGAATGGCCATCCGTAGAACTCATCTTTTTGAATTCTGGTGAAGTAGTCTGGTACAAGGTCGTCACCGATTTCATCGCGTTCTTGTACCGCAACGTAGAGATCACCACTTTTGGGATGGAAATCAATACCGACTGGATTACGTAAACCCCAAGCGAATGTTGCGTTGTTCGTACCATCCAAGTCCACGACTTGAACAGATGCCCGCGATGGATATTCGATGTCAACATTGCTACCAGAACCAACCGTGACAAATAATCGATCGCCACTTGGTGAGACAATTAAACTACGTGTCCAATGATAAGTACTTTGATATGTGATAAGAACTTGTCCAGTTCCTTTCAATCTTTTATCACCAGTTTTGTACGGATAACGACGAAGTTCGCCAGCATTGGCAACATAGAACCAGCCCTTAAAAATCAAAGACGGTTTTAAACTGAACCTCAAGTAATATTGTGGAACTCACCTCAGTAAATGCCATGCCGAAAGCTTGTGCAACACCGTTTGAAGAATCAGCAAACACCGATGTCTCATCGCCATTCAGGATCGATATACGATTACCGCGCATTTCTGTCACAAGAATTTCACCTGTTGGAGTGTAGATCAGTTGTCTTGGCGCATTCAAACCGTCGCGAAAGATTGTTACGCGAAAATTAGTGTCGGGAACGAGTAATGTTGCATTGCTCGGTACGGCAACAACAATTGCAGGTTTTGTAGCAGATGATGTTTTGTATGGCGGTGGAAGATCATCCAAAGTGATACGGATCGGTTCTGGTTTGAATGGTTGTACAGGAACTACAGGTGCATCTTTCGTCGATACGAAATACACCGAACTAATCAAGAGAAGAATACAAGCAGCGTACATATTCGATTGTCGAAATAAATAAAAGACTATGGACGGCTTTTTCATTGGTCTTATATACAATCGTACGGTTAATCACATTGAGAAAAAATATATATAACTCTGTAATACTTATTTAAGACTTACCGGCATCAACAATGCAATAAACAAGAAACTCGATACATATGTAGTTTATCACGATGACAGAGTAAAAAAGCGAATTTGATTGTTAAATCGAAGACTAGACAAGTTGATTGATGATGGAATAACCACATCAATTCTGGATTATTATATAAACTTACTTTCATCTGATTCGAAAAAAGGATCTCGGGGATAGACAGGTAGCGACCTCTATCCAAGAAATGTGTTCATTTCTAATCAAAGCGTTCAAAGAAGTTGATTATAAATCTTATTGAGTAGGCTGTTCATTCCTAATTGATTTCAGCAAGATCACAGATATGTCTGACTTTCGTCACGAAATAATTCATAGTAGTGGTACGTATTCATATCGTCCAAGATGGTTGTCAGCTCTTAAGGGTAAAACCAGAAAAATCAACAATAATAACAAAAAACAACTGAGAAGTTTTTCCGTTTGTTTGCCTCAGTAAAGATGAAGAAAAAACTAAATTGCATTGAGTTCACGTTCTTAATTTTCTCTAGATTCATATAACTTTTCAGAACCGAATCTTTAGCTCATTACCAAATGGCTTCACTTGCACGTTTTTCATTAACATCATCATCGGCTTTATGTCGTTTATTGATCAGTCGTAACGCTGGTCTTGTCCAACAACATTTACCCTCGATGATTATTCCAGCTGCTACACAACAACGATCAATTGCCACTACGCCCATTCGTCGTGATATTGATTCAGCAGCTAAGTACATCGGAGCCGGTGCTGCTACTGTCGGTGTAGCTGGTGCTGGTGCAGGTATGTGTAACGCTTCAGTTACGTCGAACAGAAAATTCAGACCATCGTTTTTCTTCTTCTAGGTATTGGAACAGTATTCGGTTCACTTGTAGTAGCCTATGCCCGAAATCCAAGTTTAAAACAACAGCTCTTCTCCTATGCTATCTTGGGTTTTGCTTTATCCGAGGCTATGGGTCTCTTCTGTCTTATGATGGCTTTCATGTTATTGTTTGCCTTCTAGACAATTCTTGATTCAATTTTCTACTTCCCGTACATACAAGAACATTTAGGCGAACTTTTTCGTTCTATATACCCATCCTGATTCCTTTCTATTCATTAAACAGTAGCCTATTGATCTTGTTAGTCCTAGACTTATATTTGTCACCAAAACCGTCGTGATTGTTTGTCTTCTTTCTTTCTTTTATGCTAAACTCTTTCTTGCTTGGTCAACTTTGAAATAAATTCAAAAGAGATGAGACAGACTATCTGCTGATAAAAATATTTTCATTAGCGTATAACAAATAGAAAAATATTCATAAGAACTAAGAGAAAAAAATCAACGAATTGCTTCTATTTCCAAATTGAAATTTCCTTTTGACGAATGATCACGTGAACGTGCTCACATTCATTTACATGTAATACTCGTTTTATCCACGATCTGCGTATACCAATATCAGTTAACGACGGCACATGAAATGAACCTTTACGGCATGCAATACGAAAACTGATAAGATCGGGCAATGAACATAAGATCATTTCAATAATTTCTTCGATATTTCGATTGATCGATCGACTTGAATGCATTAAAAACGAGAAATTCCGTAGACATGGAAATGCGTGGAGTAAAATGTCAATATCTTTCATAACAATACGGCCATCAGTGTCGCTACTGAATAACCACAGTTCTTTCAAACGATCAAATATCGTTCCAGGTAAACGTTTACATAAATAAATCAAATCACCATACATGATTGTCAACGCACGCAGGCAAGGTGTAACCGAAATTTTCGTTACTAGAAGAAGGAAGAACGGGATATTGATCTTACATCGGGTCGACCGAACGTATCGTAGAGCAAGAAGACGTGGCAAATGTAACTGTTGGTTTAAATTCGCTTGATCGAGTATATTCACTGATGTTAAATCTAGAGCTTGAATGCATGGAAAACGATTGAGAACATGCAACCAATCGTTGATCAACGTTCGCTCATGTCGACCGCAAAGAAAAAGTGATTTTACACTTCGCGCTTGCCGTTGATACAATTCCGGATTTGTTGTTTNGAGTAGTAAGAACTGGTTCATGAACGATCGTCGTTGGTTGTTCATCTTCAATATCATAGAGACGAATGAATTCATAAGGTTGAGCAGTGTTTTCATATTCCAATGGCACTTTGAAATCAATCAATTTCGCGATACGTTCACGAAGAACATTGAATGGAGATGTGATAGGCAACTCGAAGCGTTCATTCAATTCACTCAATTCAAATTTCCATCGTGTATGAGCTACAAGTATGAATTGTGATCTGTCGCAAAAAAGATAATTTTTATGAAGTTGGCGTTTCTTACTTGCTTCCATCGGCTTATGATATTTATTGATAATCTTGTAAACCTTCAATCGGACATGATTTCTCGGTGCAACACTGCCTGGTCGCATGGCTAATTGAATCCCATTTGTCAACCCATTGACAACTAAATTTTGATCGAAATCATTCAATGGTGGACCATCATTGATCAGCGAGGATTTCACTTCACATAGATGGTAATCATTGTCGTCGTCTAAGACAAAAGAACGAATGAACATGGGAAACTTAGAGTAAATTTGTTTACCATTCATTAGAAGTCCTTGTTTAATTAGATTCCACAGATCAGTTAATGTCATGCTGCAATCGACAATTAACTCTAATGGACTTGGTTCTCTGTCTGATTGAATGCAAACGAGAACTTCGTTTTCTTTCAGTGCCTGTCCAGCTTTTAAACACAAATTTGTAGCACTTTGTTTGAAATCAATTGTATCAACTGTCTGATGATCATAGACTAACCGATGTAAATCAAATCAAAAATGAAAATTGTCGAATCAAAAACAGATATCTGACGTACGAGGAATGCTTGCCAGATCCGAATCATCGTCAATATACAGTCGACACATAGATGGATCTAATGATATACCGAATGCTTCAACCGCCTTGCGTTTCACTTCACCGATCAGCTAGAAAACATTGAAATAGATAGAACCTCTTTGTTTACTGTGCAAACCTACAGTCGTATTGAAACAACTATACGTCATTGGTTTGGTATTTATTGAATCAACATTGTTTTTGATTGTCAATGATAATTGAGTTTTACCCATGTTAGCACTATTTGATGAGGCATCTTTCCAGCTTGGTACACTGATGAACGAATACCGAAAAAGTTAACGGTCTTGAGAAAACAAATGGAATGACTTACAAAGAGTTTTTATTATCAATTCCTAACGTATCACCATCGTGCAAATTCAATTGTGCTAGTGTTTGTTTTTCTTCATCAATTTTATATTCTCGTCGTAGTTTTCGATTGTTCTTTTCTTCTAAATTCAATTTGCCCATTCGAACCTGCCGCAAAACTTGCTGATCTTCATATTGATAATAATCTCGGAAGAGGACTTCCTTCAATTCCGCTAAGGTAGTGTTTTTGGATACATGTCGAGTGTTTTGCAAACGCGATGCATGAATATGTGCATCAGGAAAGCCGTACACTATATTCAGCATAATTGGTTCGAATTCTTCGCCTTGGATGACCGTATTCGGTAGTGTAGATGGATGCTTGAAGACAATGAGATTTCGATAAGTGGATAGATCGTTTTTATCTAAAGTAAGATCATCATCGACATTTATTAATCTACTAATGATATGTAATTGGCCAGAGCGAAGTTTTTTGGAGGTAAAAAAATCTGTATCATCACCATATAAAGTCTAAAATGAGCTGGTTGAGATGACAAACAAAGAATGAGGATGTGATACCTTTAGAATAGAAATGAATTCATTGGTTTTTGTCCGTTTGTCAAACATATGTTCGCCGTATGGATCAGGAAAGAGCATTTGATTGGCATTGTTTAAATTCAATCGACAACCTTCAATCACCTCAAACCATTCACCTGGATAAATCGTCACCGGTAACTGATTTTGATACTTGTCATACACTTCGCTGCAGAGTAGCATAGATTTGTGCATTATTTTCAAGTTTTTAGCGGAAATCTTACCGTTTTTCTTCTAAAATTTTATTCTTTTCAGAAACCTCATCAATTAGCCATTGTGGAATGGAATAGACTGTATCCGAACAATCCATGCTTGAATCATTCTTTTTTCGCGGAGTTTTTAATCTATAGAATAGCATGTATGCACAATCGCTCAGTCCATAATGTCTTTGGATATGCTGTTGGGTTACACATGTCACAGTTGAATCATCGAAACAAAACCAATGTTCATTATCATCGTCGTTGGTTTCCGGTTTTTCTAGTTGCGATGATTCATAATCCATATCAGCAACCTCGTTCTGGTCTACATCCATTTGTTCAACTAATCGAACACGTTTATCATCGACATGGAAGATTTCAGGGTGACTGCGAAGAAACTAAAGAAGAGAGTGAGGAGCGGATGGAGTGAATAAAATTGTTTACTTTCGTGAATGCACCATTCGAATTACGTGTGCGACTCCATGGTACTGTTGTGTTCTCTCGGTAAGTCTAGAAGAGCAGGATCAATATGTTTTCTCACAGGGAGAAATTGGTTTTTTGTTTTTGGACAAACTTTTAGAAGATCATCAATTGTGAACCAATCATCATGGGACAACAATATCGTGCGAAGTAGATCAATTTTTTTCGCCGTTTCTTCCTCCGATTCGACAGGTTCATTTGCGCCGGTGTTCTTACTGGTACGAGTGTTCGATGCTTTCTGTTTATTTGATGATTTTGGCTACAGAAATGAGGCATATTTTCGAATGGTATTAAAGTGGGCAACCTACTGCAGGCGAAGCCGGTGGTGGGGGACGTATCCATGTGCCAATCTGATCAACATCTTTAATATAACCATAGTAATGTCCTGAATAACATGTACCTTTATGAATGACTACAGCAAACAATTCATAAACGGTCGCAATCACAGAATCCTAATGTGCACACATAGATCTTATATGGATATGTGGGGTGTGTATCGATACATACATCACAAAATTCTTTCAAGTCAATTTCAAATGGAAATTCATATCGTGTTGTTTTCTTCAATCGATTACCCGTTTTAATGTCATAGACAAATCGTTGTAACGGCAATGTTAAAATCGGTGGCAGTTTGCTTATTTTTGCCCACTAAAATTCACCATCAAATGTGTTGTTACCCGTTAAATTTTGCTTTCTTTACCTTTTCAGCATCACACAAAGTATTCGCACAGGACGAACATCGATATTGATTATCACCAATCAAGTGTTCATGAATTGTGAACATATTCGCAAGTGAATTTTGTAAATTCGGACTATCTTGCACTACTAATGGTAAATCTTGATAATCTTCCTTTAAAAGCAAATCATTGATGAAGATATCAATGTAGTTTTCAAGTTTATTACTATGCGTTTGAAAACTTTTTGACATTTTTTGCATTGTGTGTAGTTTATTGTTGAGCCTTCATAGCACGTTCGTATTAAATTTGATTGTTTGGTGCCTTGCAGAGATTTTTGAATAGCATCGAAAAGTAATCGATTCAGTTCATGCACATCTTGATGATCGAAAGTCTGTTTTAACGAACAAAATAGAAGTGGATGAGAATTAACGAGCAAAAGGAAACCAACTTCATTGGATTGCCAACCAAAACTATCGGTTAAGCGAATAGACGAACACGCTTGTTGATTCAGTAGAAGCATTTCGGCAAAGAGTCGCTGTAATTCAACGATAATTTTACGCACCTAGTAATAGTTATAAATTAGGTTGTGAAAAGAGAAAAAGAGTCGGTCAAACAACACTACTTTTAAAGTCGTTCCAATCGATGAAGTTTGACTTGAATCGGTGGAGTACGGTGGAAGATTGAGATCTTTCGCTGAAAGACTGAATAAAGGCTCTAGAGCAAAATAAATCGAAGTAGAAGCATTATATACCGGTAACGTACCACGAAATTCTGGTGTGAAAAGTAACGTCTGTATAAGAGCATTCAAGTAGCTAGAATCCAACGATTTATATATGCGGATACATTGAATTTATTTTAACTCACCAAGTTGCTCCTTGGTTTTGCAAGCCGCATAAATTTGTTTGATTTCGTGGGGCTGGAGGTCTCTCAACTGTTGATTTCGCACTGGAACTCGAAGTGATTTGATAAGAAACTATGAACTGATGAAGTTAGTCTCAACAGCAATATTACTTTCATCAACTTACAATCTGTGTCTCCACCGCCATCTTCGTCGAAGAGACCTTGTAACATTTTAATCTGAATCTTGAAAAGAAAAGTTCAAAACATGATAACAACAATGAGAATCACAAAACTAGAAGTTTATCCCATCACTATTCTATGAGTATCAATGATCACCAGCTTCTTTATTTGTTTCTAAAAACTGTTTATACTGCTTTTCGGTCATCAGCGTCGATGAGATATTCTTCTTTTCTTTATCATTAATAAATGCCTGAATCAGCCAACCATTTTCATATGGACTCTTATTAATCAAATCAGCTTCACTCTTCAATTTCTCGTTCACATCCGATATTTCACCATCGATTGGCATATAACAATCAGAAACAGCTTTAACTGATTCTAACGTAGCAAATGTGTCATCACGTTTGAATTTCGCACCAACTGATGGCAATTCACAGTAAACAACATCACCTAGAGCACGTTGAGCATGATCACTGATTCCGACGCGAACTTCGATGGACTTTTTGTTCGCATCAAGCAATTGTATCCATTCATGTTTTTTAGTAAAATAACGTTCTTGACACATGCATTTCGTCAAATGAATCTGACGTATTGGTTGAAATTGAACAGTGCGACGAAATAATAACAATGATATGGCTGACATTGGAATCGAATTGCGGATAGCAGATGTAAAATTCAGATGTTAGGGCGCAATAACGAAGTCGTCGATCTTCTTTAGTCGTTGTATTTGTATATGTGGTAATAATTCTTCGTCGTGATACGTTTTCTTCACAACCAATAGACTAGCAGCATGAATCATAGCATAGAATGTTTCCAATGGCAAAATGTACTTGTACCTTGTGTTTTAGATTTCCATTAGAAACACTGGAATTAATCGCGAAGTCACTTGTTTGAGATTTTGAGAGATTGCTTTTCGTTTAATTGTTTATTGTTAACAAGAAACAAAACAAATTTGTAATATGAATGAACGGAAAAAAAATGTTTTCTTTTTAGAAATGATCATTGCATGAGCATTGTCCAGTTTTATAGAAATGATGTATTCGATTTGCATCGCGAACGATAATATCACATTGACGAAGCAATGCAATTCGTTTCGTTGTTTGATCTAAAAGGGAGGAAAAAACCAAAAATGAACACGAATGAAACAATAACTCACGGCAATCTCCGCAAACGCGAAGATTTTTTGTTATCTGAATTGTTGAAGCATGAGGATTCACAACAAAATTCCATGCAATTGCTAAACGTTCACTATGGCCATACAGAACAGATTCAGTTGTTTCATTTTCACCCAAAACCCGTGTAATCCAACTGGAACCATATTGATGACCACGTGAAACGAGTTCTCGAGAGATCTTTTCACCTTCCGCATAAATTTCATCAGATCGAGGGTGAGATCCGATCATGAGTTCGAAATTTCTATACAAGAAGAATCCATGGTGTTAGTTCATCTATGAAAGAAAATCACTCACAAATATTTGACCATTCACTTCTGTCCAAGCCAAGCCAACTTTTTCTTTACGTCTATTTGGGAGATCTTCTTCTTCATTTCGGCCGCTTTTTCTAAATCACCTGTTGATGCATAAATATTACCAAGTAAAACTGAAGCTGCTATAAATAAATCTCGATCTTGGGAAAAATTTTGTTGAATACGATTGAAGATTTTTTCTGCTAAAAAGCAGTCATTTCTATTCCGAGCACCAGAGAGTAATGCCACTGAAAACACCGAACATCATACTTTTATTTCTAAATAGTGAACAAAGCTTACTAAGCATAGATGAAGATGGAGAATGACACGATTCATAGACATCAACGAGTTCTTGTGCTTCGTCAAATAAAGATAAACGACTGAAACAATCGACCTAAAAATATTCAGATCAAAGTTAAATAAAAAAGATTTTGCTTTAGATTAACCATCGTAGCATAGATGTGTTCAGTTTTGGTTTTGATAGTTGAAAATATTGCTTGAGCTTCATTAACAAGACCGGAATGTGAACATGCATTCAAAACGCAAATGTAAGTTGCTTCTGTGACTAATTCTGATGGCATCCGTCGAAAGAGTTCAACTGCTTGAAGAGCCATTCCATTTAAGCCATAAACGTTGACTAAAAGAGACATGTTTTCAAAAAAACATTTTAAAAAAACTTCACTTTTACGAACTCATTGACGTGTATGTACTCGTATCTGGTTCAATTATTGATTCAAACGTATTTTTCGCTTTATCTATACAACTTGATTTACCCTTAAATACGTGGTTTTCTCTTGAATCAACAAAAAGACTTCCGTAAATTAAAATTCTTACCCACATATCGATTAATGCGGTTTGAACATAGGGATGATCAAGAAAGGTCTTTGGAATTTGTTCGTAGATAGACTGAGATATTGATAAGACTCCAAGATTAGCACATGCGTTCAACAAAAAGACATAGATCAAGAAATTGGCTTTGATACCATCGGTTTTCATGCGTTTATATAGTTTGAATGTTTTCTCTGGTTGTTCGTTGTTGTTATATGCATTCATTAAATTGCCATAACTTCTCACAGTTCGTTCGATTTTAGGAAAGAGTTTCTCGGCTTTTGGTAAGTCACCACATTTAATGAATGCGTCATAAGCTGCAATTAAAATCTGTTTACTTTCACGATAACGATTGGGAATATTTGATAAAACTTTATCAATGGTAACCAGTGTTTCTTTTGTAGCAATTCCAGAGCAAGCATTAAGAAAAAGCATAATGTTCATTTCATCTGGATCGATAATTTCAGAGAACAGATCGACTGCCTCCTGGAACATGTTGTTTTTTATAAAACCTACGTTGCTAATCAATAAAAATTCATAAAAATGAAATCTTTTACCTCGCATCAACGCTCCATAAACAGCTTTTGTTTTATTTTCTGATTGACGAAAGATTTCCCGAGCACGATTGATATCGCCAAATTGCACTATAATATCAAATGCTAATATATTTCAATTGCAATCAGATTTCTTACTGTAAAAATGAATAAGCGATGCTTGTATAAAGGAATTCTTCTCAATACGAGATGAATATCGACTAGATATTTTCAGTCCACTCGAAAAATCTTTCATGTTCGTAGAGGATTTCAACGCTTGATTTATAGCTATATCGGATATCGCACACTGACCTTTTTGTTCATGTTCAACGAACAACGTGAGTGCTTCTTTGTACCGTTTTTCATCGTTTAATCTTTTCATTTCTGAATCCAAATTACTGTAACGTCTGATTATCGGAATTCTCCATTGGATATTGACATAAACTGATCGTAAACATCGATTTGTAAACATTTTCGACATTAATAGAATCTTCTACTTTCTCCTTAAGTGCAGGAGCTCTATCAGAACAAAAATTGTACAGAATCCGTTGTTGGTAAGCTAATGGTTATTCACGTTAATATGATAGAGTTCGTGAAAGTTCAAACCAAACGTGCTAACCAAAAGCAATTGGTTCGTTTTGATGTAGAATTTGAGCCAATGGGAAAGCGATTTCAAGTTCGTAGTGCTTGAGTCATGTAAAATTGCTAAAATTTCGTCACTTCTTTCGTAAGAACATTCATTTGAGATCGCCGAGGCGATGAAGTATTGGCTTGAGATTTAAATAGTTGTCAAAACTTCTTACTTCGCTTGTAAATAATTTCTGATATTTTCTAGTCAAGAAAGATTTTTTCATGGCGTCATTTAAACAATTGAAATTATTTGTTGATAAAGAACTTGATCAGTGTCTTCAGAACGTTGTCCGACCATTTACTGAACATGTTTATTTCCCTGAAACACCAGTTGATCCTCTTGGCATTGAGAGTATACTTCAAACTATCGAATAGAAGACTTTTCTTAATCTAGTCTTCTCTTTTCTTAGAACATCATCAAGAAAGTCAATTACAAGCTTTATCGATCTCAGATACATTAGCCTGTACGACATGTCAAATTCAATTCAGTGAACGATCAGAACAGGTTCTTTTTGTTGTTTCTATGAATATCAATTTAGTAATGATCTCTTTTTTTCTTCAATCGAATCAGACACTTCATTTTAAATCAGATTGGCATCGCTTTAATCTGAAAAGAAAACTTCGGAACCAAGCAGCGATTTCATCTGAGAAATTTGAGGATATGGAAAGTAGGTCACTGACATCTTACTTGTCATTCATTTGTTTGTAATTATCTATAGAAGACATATCAAGTATATCCGGAAGCGATTCATCAAATGATGATTTGAGTGACAGCGAAAGTGTACTGAACATGTCAGCTGATGGTTCATATAATTCATGTGCTAGAAATAATCCGAAGATTGTTTTAACACTGAATGATGGTCGACATTTATCCTTATATCGATGTCTTCTTCATGGAAAGAAGGTAAACATCGAAGTTCGACAAGCACAAAACTAATGTCTTCTCTATGTAGAATTTTCCTCAAGAATCTCAGGAATTGATTCTAACTGCTCAGCGACTTCCCTTATGTACTTATTGGTGCATAGTCATGGCTGCGGGCGGTCATTTTGCAATAGCATTATTTGAACGCGATAAAATTATTCAACATAAAACTTTTCATAAGTATGTTATCCGTGCTAAACAAGGATCAGCACAAACAGCACATGATCAAAAGACTGGCGGAAAAGCTCGTTCAGCTGGTGCTAATCTTCGTCGCCAAAACATGCTTCATTTAAAACAGGTAAATTCAATCGAAAACATGTCTTTCATGATTTATTTCTCTTTTCTCTCGTAATTAGAAAATTCAAGAACTGTTCATTTCCTTGAAAACTGAAGTACAGCGGTGTTCGTTGATCTTCGTTCGAGCGCCCAGCTTCAACCAACAGTTATTATTCAGTGATAAAAATGCACCCTTGTCAACAAGTGATCCCAGGTTTGCATAGAATAAGTTCGTTTTGTTCATGTAGAACTTTTCATTTTTTTTTTGAAGAATCCGTTCGATTCCATTTGCGACACTTCGACCGACATTCAATGAAATAAAACGTGTCTATGACCAACTGACCAAAATGGAACTCTATCGTAAGTTTACTTCGAATTCGGTTCACAGTTATGTTCATCACATTCTATACTTATTTAGCGGAAGATTATCAGTTTCAAAAAGCTGAATCAGAAAAAGCATCGATAGCCAAATCAAAACTACCAGTCGCGAAGAAAGCTACTGCTGTTTCATCATCAGACTCGGAAGATAATTCTGGTTTGTATTCATTCGTGACATTAGAAAGGAAAACTATGTTTTAACTTAAATTAGATGACAAAACTGAGCAAGCAGCTGCAAAACAAACGACAAAGAAACAACCTGTTGCGTCTTCCGCACCAACCGATCGAAAACTATTACGTAAGATTACGATCTATATCTTCCCGCTGATCTCTGATGTATTCGACTTGTTTAAGCGGTTGAAGATCTGTCTACATTCAATGAATTATTTACGGCGTGCCGGTTAAACGATATTCAACGATTTGATGATTTAATTTCACGATTACGCGCTTTGAAGACCATCGACGAATCGACTTCCATCGCAGACATACTCAACTATCAAACTGCTGGTAGTCTTGATACACTTTTACATATTGCTAGTGAACGTGGACACTTGAAACTAATTCAGCGACTACTACATGAAGGTGCTGATCCATCTCTTGCAAATCAGCGCGGAAAGTACCCGTATAATTTATGCAAAAATAAGGAAACGAAAGAAGCGTTTCGTTTATTTCGAAACGATTATCCAGATAAATACGATTACAATCTTGGTCAAATTGCAGCCAGTATAACAACGGAAGAATTAGAACGACAACGTACAGCTGAACGTGAACGTCGTCGTCAGACGAAAAAACGTCGAACAGATAAACAACGAAGTGATCAAGAAAGACAATTACGAGAGCAGGACGAGGAAAAACAACGAATAGCTTTCCTTGCTCTATCCGACGCTGAAAAGAAGACATTAGCTGTCCATATGAACTTTGAAACAAAGAAACGCGATGAATTACATTTAGGTCGATGTTGGCAGTGTGCACATAAAATCTCCGATGAACCATTTACATACTACGATTACAAATTTTGTTCAACGGCTTGCTTGAAAGCACATAGGGCGAAATCTAAGACGACTTCTTAACGTCGTTGTCTGTTGTTTTGAAATATATTTATGGAGAAAAAAAGTTAACGCAAATGAGCTAATTATAATTGATATAGTCAGACCGATGTTTGAGTTGCAATCACTTTGGAGACAAGTTCTTTATAAAGTTTGTGTATTAGACAACGAATATGATGAATTGTGTCCATTTTTATCTTAAAATACAGTTGAAAAGACAAAGAATTGCTTGAGAAATAGTCGTTACATGAACATTGGCCATTTGTATAGAAATGATGAATCCGATTAGTATCACGGACAACAATTTCACACCGACGGACGGATCATGGCGATTAGTTTGACGGCCGTGTCTAAAAAGATGCAAGAAAAGTGAGAATTCTACACGAAAAACATGACTTACGACAATCGGCCGCATCAGTGTGAAGCTAGCACGAAGATACGATGTGTTAGCTAAAAACGTTTTTACTAAGTATGTCCCGCCCATGAAAACTACACCATTCGACTCACAATTTAATTCTGTATCGAATGGTGGTACTTTTATTCATGGGACATACTTAGTAAAAACGTTTTTAGCTCACACATCGTTTCTTTGTGCTAGCTTTACACCGATATTTGATGATTGTCTTTAAAGCCATCTGTTTGGGCATATCGAAAAGTGGCTTAGCTTTTCCAATAAGCTAACCGCTTTGTTTCCGAAGAGAATCGATAACGTTTGTTTTTTCGAAGGTTTTCCACGTTTTCTTATTTATTAAAATGCCATGGGAGTAATTAATTCATCAAAATGAATTCACAACAAATTGTTAGAGCACCTCGGTGAGGGATTTGGCATTCTATTTATGTAAAAGATGCTGAGTGTTCCAACTCACTTTTCAACACAAAAAATAGATATATATTTTAGGAGTGGTAGTTCAGCTTATCTTTAAGTGTTCAAGTTAACGTCACCCCTGCGGTAAACCGTAGCTCAATTTTATATTTTGCGGCTTCAAAACAAAATAAAAGAGCATGTGACTGCTTTTTCAGGTTGACAAACGATCATTTTTTCTTGTTTCTTTTGTCTATAATCGAATAAGACTTGGGAAGAATGAAACGAACACACTGGGAGACGCTGTATGAAGCTCTCAGCAAACTACATCGTGAAACTTATTAGAATCTTGCGTTTCATTTACTAAAATGCGTGAAACGGTGCAAAACAATCAGTGAAAGCTGACTTGGTGGCATTTAGCATTGTTGAAAACAACATTTACATAATCAAAATAAATCTCTAATGTAAGCTGTAGAGTTTTTTTTTATCTTCCACTATACTTTTTAGCTAAAAAAAAATAATTTAGAGGCGCCAATTTCTTTTGAAGAGAATCGAATCGGTTTGCAAAGGAGTCAAAGGCATAAAAGATTTTCTACTTTTAATTCTTGAAACGTCTATTTTAAATGTCAAAACAGAATTCAATGAGCATGCGTGTTCTAACGCCATCTTTCTGCGCACGCCAACAACTCGTAACTGTCGAAATGATTATACGTCATTTGTTTTCGTCAGAAACATATATTAATGCATCACCACCATGAGTTACTATTCATAACGAACAAAATCAAAAAGTTTTCATCGCTTTCAGCCTATACGGTACGGTTTGCTGCACGATTGAAATTCAACATGCACACATTTTCCACATTACCCGTCGAACTTGTTTATCGAATTATGGATCATCAAAATGTGGAGACGCTATTTTTTTCAATGCAAAATATTTCCCGGCGGCTCAATCAGATCCTGAGCACCTATGAGCGATATCGAGTAAGTTTACTTGACATCTTAACACTCTTGTCGGCTGTACTACACATAAGCCTAATGATGTCTGACGCCGTAAATTTCCTCACAGGAAGAGGTAAAGTAATCTCATAATCCACAAATAATTTGATTGAATAAGACAATCACTGTGCGAAGTCATATGAAATCACGCATTCCTCCACTCTCTCGCCTTTTTGCTATGCATGTTGACCTATTCGATACAAAAGTGCATCAACTATCATTTTTGATGAAACTTCCCAAATAAAGCAAACTGGCCTCCACAATTTCTGGACTTATGTCTATATTCATTCTCACCCACACCCTCAATCTAACTCCTACATATCCCAAGAGCAGCATTTCAATTTCATTGGAGGGCGTCCTCAAAAGAGATATCTCGCAACCATCAATAACTATTGATAGTTATATCTTACTCTTTCCACTCGATCAGCTCGCAGTAATCTCGTGTCTATATTGCCAACACAGCATCTCTTCTCTGAACAGAGTCTTTCCTGCGCAACAGCTAACATCTAGGTCCAACTGCTCCCTAAAAATCTTCCCCAACCATGACTATTTCATATCACACATATACAATCAGAAGTATCATCAAAGGTTCTCTTTCCTAGTTGTCCTTTTAATAATATATTGCTTTCATGTAGGCACTCACCACACTATATCTCATCTATCACGGAAACGGTGCTGAAGAAGCAAAACACATTGCCGATGCGTTGCGAACAAACACGGTAATATTGATCTCATTTCACGGAAGATGAAGCACTCACTCTCTCGCACACCTGCAGACACTCACCACACTAAACCTCCACGGTGACGAAATCGGTGCTCAAGGAGCACAACACATTGCGGATGCATTGCGAACAAACACGGTAATATTGATTTCATTTCACGGAAGATGAAGCACTGACTCTCTCGCACACCTGCAGACACTCACCACACTAGATCTCACCCTCAACAGAATCGATGCTGACGGAGCACAACACATTGCGGACGCGTTGCGAATAAACACGGTAATATTGATCTCATTTCACGGAAGATGAAGCACTGACTCTCTCGCACACCTACAGACACTCACCACACTAAACTTCTGCGACAACAGAATCGGTGATGAAGGAGCACAACACATTGCGGATGCGTTGCGAACGAACACGGTAATACTGCTCTCATTTCACGGAAGGCGAAGTGTTCAGTCTCTCTCACACATACAGACACTCACCACACTAAACCTCTACGGTAACAGAATCGGTGATGAAGGAGCACAACACATTGCGGATGCGTTGCGAACGAACACGGTAATACTGCTCTCATTTCACGGAAGGTGAAGTATTCAGTCTCTGTCACACATACAGACACTCACCACACTAGATCTCCGCGGTAATGAGATCGGCGATGAAGGAGCACAACACATTGCGGACGCGTTGCGTAGGAATGCAGTAAGGCTGATGCTTTGCTGGAAGAAATTTGGAATATTTGATTTGTCTGATTCTTAGAGCGTCAAGATGGTGTAGATCCTGTGCTGAATGGAATGGGAGAACAAGTGATAGTGGATCTGGTGACTCTTTTCGTAGAAAGGATGCTTTTCGTTCGAAAATTTAGTCGATATTGTTTGGTGTGTGATTTTGGTGACATTGAAAAGTAGTGAAGGAATAGAAAATGAATGTAGTGGTGAGAGGCGGATGTAACCTGAATGAGAATGCTTTTTGTTGTGGGAAAATATATGTGGAATAGTGAAAGTGAATGCTTTATTTACGCAGATGTAAGAGAGCAGTGTTTGATGGAAGAGGTGCCATGGTACGATACGTTTGTGAGAGGTTCTTTTGGATTCGAATTTGTTTCTGAAAGTGTGTGATTAACAAAAGAGCATTACTGCAGACTGCTCGACTATATTGGAGATATGGCAGAATTGAATTGACAGGAGTACAGCACGTATGCATTTTACATATCAGTTCTCGTAAAGGTAAAGTGATCAGACCAATGAACATTGAATGGGAGCGATGTTTCATTATTATCTAGCTGTTCCCTTTTCTGAAAGAAAGGGTGTTAGCCGCGTGAAAACTGGTTAAATTTTGTTTGTTTGTTTGTCCAAGCCAATCAGATAACAGCATATCATAAATCAATCAAAACTTAACGATGTTCCATACAAAGTAATTCTTGCAAGGTAATCGAGGTCGAGGATCACAAATCCCAGGTTAATGTTGATTAATTAATTATTAATTTTTCTTTAACTAGCCACGACTTATTAACATCCATTGTCAAAGTAGACGGGATGGTTTCTGACGTCGGGGAATTCGAACTTGAGGGTGAATATCGTCTTATCCGCTGAGTCTGGGCTTGTTCCTTGCTGTTTACAAAGGAGATATTTTTCTTCATCTGTTCTGAAATCTTTTGTAGAAGATGGTGAGCTGAACGCTATTCATGGACGTGATGCGCACAAAGATAGTAGCTCAAGAACTTAAACGAGAAGATCTAATAATTCATTGTACATAATGATGTTTCTAATTCAAGAAATCCGAAAAAGTGATATGAGCTTAGTATCATCTTTGCTTTGTAGGCTACATACATCATGTCCTTTCATGGGAATTTAGTAGAAGTAGTTCGCAAAGCGATATCGTTTGTTCGTGCCAGCTTCATGTGAGGTTTTTGATGTAGGGGATGCAAAAATCCTATAGTCTCGAAAAAGTGTTTGTACCTATCTCAATCAATAATGAATCCTGGATCGCAAATAATCTATGGATCTCTAAAGAAGAAATCAATCTTACCGTACCCAGTGAAAGATGTGAGATGGCAACTACGTTTATTCGGGTCAGACAAGGGCAAAAACGAATATAGAGAATCACACGAAAATGAAAAAAACCTACTCTATAATATAGAGCAACAAAAAGAGAGAAACGACGACTGAAAAATAACAGCGTGGTCTAACTACCACAAAGAATGACGGAAAGACAACAAAGAAAGATCATCATGAGGACATGATGATCAGGAGAAAAAACACATTCCACAGGAAAGAAAAGAAAAAGTGTATCACGACGGAAAGGAATGTGAATCGAGGTAGAAAAGAGACGAACGTAAAGAAACATAAACATATCTATGTATATGTGCATAGATATGTGAAAACGATAGCGTCATGTAGTAACAACCCATGACGCTAAGACTTCACACCGATGTGGTCGTGAATTTTCGATAAAATCCCTGAGGAAACTCGCCATTTCTGAGCGGTTCCGGCTCAAACCCGATAAATCTGGCCACCGGATCAACTCATCGGAAACACTACTTCCATGGATTCTTGGAAATACCACAGAACCGGCCGTTTTCGTACCGGATTGTTCGACCTGGGTATGTGCAAATTTTAGCGGTACTTGATTTCATATGCTCACATAGTTCATCTAATAATTAGCTTTCGTCAATAGAGACGTTTTTTCACGAAAATTTGTGAATGGCTCAAGTTTTGTTTTGGAATTTCTATCCGAATTATTGTGGGCATAATTAGCTCAATTATTATCATCATACTCTTGCTCTCGTATTGGAAATTCATCCAGTATTTGGGTAACTTATTTCAACAACTTTTTTTTAAAATTTTATTTCTTTCTTTTAAGGACAAAATTATTTTCCTGAAAGGAAAATAATAAAATATTGGAACAAAACCGATTTATAAGTGGATAGTACTTTTTCATCGTTTTTTGTACAAAAATAAACGTGAGAAGAAGAAAAGATTTTCTTTAAATATGAACCCAGATTCAAATGAAAACCTGACCATTGTAAATGAATACATGCGGTGAAGCCAATCGGGGTACATAGATTCACAATGAAAAAACATATCCATAGAGGGATAGATTAAAATTACAGTTTATTTTAAAATATACTGATATTGTTCAATTTATTTCATCTTGTGTTCGACTCTCATACATTCCAATAAGAGTTTTGAATCGAAGATTTCATAAATAAATTTAAATTCCAGACCAATTCCGTCCTGCACTTATCAACGTAATTCCTTGGTTTCGACAAGATGCACGCTCATTCAATGAAAGTGAATAAAGATTTCTTTGTCTCAATGATGCAAATGCAGGAATGCGACCAAAACCACTATCTGTGCTAATTAAATGTTGTTCACATAAACTAAACAGGAACATGTGAAAAGCTCCCAATTGTAGAGCAAGTAAACGATTGTTTGTATATTGAATATGTAAAACAGGTTTGGAATCGGATAAAATATATAAACGATCGTTTTTCAATCGTGATTGACTTTGAAGAGGTAATGACCAACGTTTCAAAGCAGATCGACGAATTTCATAGCTATCAGACATGAGAAAAACAACTGGAATGACGTTCGACTGTTGATTTTGATGAATTAAATCCAAAGTACAATTGAGATAATTTTCAACTCGTCCGAGAAGACGCGTTTCTTGAGTGTCATTCAAGAGTTGATTTGTCGATTTTCGCTGCATTGTTGCGTCGCCTGCACGAATTTGAACACCAATGGTGAAAAAATTGGACGATAAAAGAATTTGAAGAATTTCGTATGATGAATGATCAAATGAATTCAATTTTGTACTCGATAAAGCAACTCTTTGGACAATTTCCGATAGTTTATAAGCGAGAAACGAATGATAAAGACAACCAAAGATATTGTTCGCATTCATTTGTAGATCTTCGGTTAGAAACTTCCGGTAAACACTAGTTTTTGAGTCGATTGTTTGAATAACACCACCTGTGTGTCCTTTGAAAATGAGAACGCGTTCGGGAAATTGTTGATCATAATCATAATCTTTGAGATATCGATCAAATGAAAACGATTGCACTTTTTTTGAAAAATTGAATTTCTCAAATAAAAATGCGAATGCCTGATGATCAGAATTTAAACTTAACTGAAATATCTCATGAAAATCTGGCCAATCTTCATCGAAAATAAATAAACGTTTCGTTAATAAAGCAACAAAATATGTTGAAATCAAATGAATAAATCGATCAGCAATACCAGTCAACTGCTTTTCATAAATTAAGAATCGAATATCATGTTTAAGAATCTCCTTTCGTTGTTCATCGATTGTTTTGCTTTTTTGATTGAAAAGAAGAACAGTCGTGATGTTCTTATGCCATTGTTGATAATCGAATATCCAATCGTGAAATTGTTTTGAACATACAGAGCAATTTTTTGCTCTTTCAAATGGAACAAGTTCTCGTTGTTCAATAGTGAATAAATCCAACCACTTAGACAGAGAATTTTGTTCGTGAACAAATAAATCTTGAGAAGAATAATGAATGAGAATGTTTTGATTCAAACGTTCATTAGACGGTGGCCATTGTGGCCAAGAGATGATTGTTTGATTGCTATGATGAGACCAAAGTTGGAGGAAATAAAACTGAAAATCAGATGGAAATAATTCATGCAGACTAATCGAGATTATGTCCGAATTGATTCTCAAGATGGACAATGAACACGTGGCTTGGTTTGAGAAAAGATTTAATTGTTTGGAATTATTTAAATAGAATGTGAGAGAAATGTCACATATTGAACGATAAATCTGAGATTTTTGTGCACATGTAATGTTGAGATGGAATACATTAACTGGTGAATTGTGTGAAAAGTTCGAAAAATATTCTCTCGAAAGAGACGTTAAATTGATTTTCAATGATAATCGATGATTAAGAAATTTTGGAAGAAATGAAGTTGCTCTTAGAAAAGATAACCGTTGTTCATATAAATGAAGGTAAGTATTCGATTTTTTAAATAACTTCACAGACATTCCTTGCATTGGGAAACGATAATAAAATATAAACAATATTGATAAACTAAACAAAAGTATTATAAATAGACTTCGATTTCGTTGGTTGAACATCTTCAGGAATATCATAACGCAGCAAAGAAAACAACGATATGAAAGGACGAAGTCAAATATGAGGTTGTTAACACCGCGCCGTCTTCCACAGCAATTTCGTTTTCTCACCTGAGAGTTGATTCTTCTTTAGTTTAATCGTCCAAGAATAGTCTATGATGATATATAAATAGGAAAAAAGTCAGGTTGATAGTCGCTCGATGATGTCATAAACATTTATACATGTAGAGGAAAAAGAACAAAATTCGTTTAGGACCTATTAAATATTGGTAATGTACATGAAAAATGAGATAAAATTATTTGATAAAGACATAAAGCACTCCATTGATTATAAAGATGGACTATTTAGAATATTCTGCATGAACATTCCTTTATCAATTCATGGCGATTTAGTTTATACCATCGATATCTGATTGAAAGTAGCTTCTAAATTTGAGTTCGAATATAAATGGAGGTTTCACAAATAAATCCTAGCATAAAAATCATGCTAGAGAAAAAGGCATAGTTTTAATTATTCATACCTATAGTTCATATTGACACATAGGTATGCTTGCATACGTGAGATATATTTATTGAAATGGGAATATAGGAAAGCATCGTTCGAACTATCGATTACAAACAATATTTAAAGAAAATCATATTGATTAGGAGAAGAAATAGTAAGATTGATGAAGTACAGAGTTTTGTTGAAGCTGCTGAACAAGTAGTCGTCGTTGTCGTTTTCCTCTTTGTTGTTGTTGCTGTTCTTCTCATCATTGTTGTTCTTCTCATCGTTGTTGTTTTAACTGTTGTTTCGTCACCTGGAGAACTTGTTAATTTAATCGTTTTGAATAATTTATTCATATTGACTCTTTCCCACATCAAAAGGAAAATTTTACTATCAGTGAGTTTGCTATTGCAATAATAAGTTCTACACAAATAAATAAGCGTATATTCAGTAGTAACGCTTTGTTTATCTATTTTAGCGAACATTTCAAGTTCAACATATGGTTGTCTCGCGGTGGCTATGCACCGAGCCGAGCGAACATCTAGTAACTTTCTGTTGAGACATGGGAAACCATGACAATCTTTTAGTTGATACTCATTAAACCACTGAAAACATGAAATAGATTGACCGCCTGTTTCCGTATATAGGAGATCATGAAGCCTTTTTCGTACATTACTGTACGATTTTCCTTCTGATAGCATCCACCGTACGGTACTTATTGTGTATTCCAAATCACATACATGTGTTGTACATTTTCCTTGCACTGTGGTCACTAACGATGTGTTCCGAACTAACTCAACGACGGTTTTCACGACTATCTGATCAGCTTCAACTTTGAGTGGACGTGAATATCGAACTATAACTTGACGTGTTGTGTGTAAAAGCGATAGATTAAACGAACAAAATGATGCTTGTTGGGTACGATTAATCAAACGCGATGTTAAGTTTTGGATTTGCTCGTCTAAGTTTGTATCATTGAGTTGAATTTGAAAATCTTTTACATTGGTGAGGCATCCCACTTGGTCACTAGTTCTGACCAAGAAAACTAAGAGGAAAGTGGAAATTACGTGTATGTAGAGCATTTAATTGAGGAAAGTAGACGTTGTTATTTCTTGTTCGTTGATAACAATCACGTTTTTCTCTATGTCAAATAGATCAAAGCATGACTTTTCTTCACTCGAGAATTTTTATCAGGAAAGAATTATTAAGAAGTCGGAGAATTATAATGTAATGATCTTTTCAGTGAATAACATTGCGAAGTTCAGCCAAAAAATATTCGAGCATGCTGCTCACTTTACCAACATGATAAACTGTCCATTTTTTAGTGATAACAAAAGAATACGGAGTTTAATAAAAGATAAGATAGACGATGATTTTGACATTGTTATCACTTCTGGGGAAGTCGCGACAAATGTTAAGATTATCGATGTTTGATCATCTGAAAGATTCGATGTCGATCTATTAGGTTCAAATATTCTGCTCATATTGAACTAACTCCACATAATCTCAATGATATCAGTGTCAATTGCCTTGCTGTTGAATCAATTCGTTCTGTGTGAATAATTTAAAAACATGTTTAACGATTGGTTTTTTGTGGTTGCTTTCGAGTTTTTACACATTGAGGAATCCGTTTTACTTTAAAACAAAATTGTAATGACAAGGAATTGCTTCAAAAATAGTCGTTGCACGAACATTGCCCATTCGTGTAAAAATGATGAATCCGATTAGCATCGCGCACAACAATTTCACACTGACGAATCATCGCAATTAATTTGGTGACTGCATCTAAAGAAATGAAAGAAAAATGAGAGTTGCACACGGAAAGCATCACTTACGACAATCACTACATACGCGAAGGTTTTTTATTAATTGTATCCTTGTTGTTTTTGGATTCAACACAAAATTCCATGCAATCGCTAAACGTTCACTATGGCCATTAAGTACAGATTCGACAGTTTCATCTTCCTTGAGCACACGTGTGACACAGCTTGAGTCATATGCGTGGTTGTGTTCAACAAGTTCTTCGGAGATTTTCTCTAACTCAGCGTAAATTTCATTAGAGCGAGGATGCGACCGGTCATGCGCTCGAAATTCCTTTGAAAATTTTTGCTTTTTAAAAATATATAATGAAAATTGAAGACTCACAAATACTTCTCCATTGATCGTAGTCCATGATAAACCAATTTTCTTTTTAGCACCCGATTTGCTCAACTTACTGCGAATATCTGATGCCTTTTCACTTTCTCCTGTCGACGCATACACGTTGGCCAGAAGAATTGTCGCTGCAGTGAGGGAATCTTTATCTCGAGGAAACAGTTTCTGCATTCTATCATGAATTCTTTGTGATAATTCCGTGTTCCTTGAATTTCTTGCACCAGATAATATTGCAGCTATAAACAAGACAGTCTGTTGTTAATATCCTTTTGAGACTGTAATCGCAGTTTTGCAATTTATATTAAACAATACTCACTGTACATAGGTAGGAGAGGTGGATTAAATCGCTCATATTCATTAAGTAGTTGTTGAGATTCTTCAAGACATGACGCACGACTCAAGCAGTCAATCTGAATGAAAAAATAACCATAGTAAATACCGAAGAATTCCAGAAGAAATAGTTGTTCTTTACCATTGCACAATAGATTTTCTCAGTCTTTACTGGAATATTGCCAAAAATTGCACGAGCATCATTCACCAACCCAGAATGTGAACAAGCATTCAATACACAAATGTTTGTCACTTCACTGACAAACTCTTTAGACATTTGATGGTAAAGTTCTACAGCTTCGTTGCCATATCCATTTAAACCAAAACAATGGACTAAAAGAGGAAGAATCACGAGAAAATTTTCAAAAGTGTTTGCATAATACCAACTCATTGCTGTGTATGTAACGTAGTTTTCATCACGAACTTCTCCAAATATTTTCTTCGCTTCATCGACTTGACCAACTCTTCCCTTAAATCAATAGTCTCTTTGAAAACAAAGATCAATAATCAAACAATGTTTTCACATACCCACATGTCGATTAGTGCACATGCAACATGATTGTCATTCGGAATACCACATGGAAATTTCTTGATGTACAACTGACACAAGGAGTAATCACCTATCATTGATAATGCTTTAATCAAATACAGACAAACTACAATATCTTTTTCGATCATGTCAATTGTCATTTGATCAAATAAGCGCAGTGTTTTCCATGGCGATTCATCATTATTATATCCGTTCATCATAGCTACATACATAGACGATGTTCTCCTTTCTGATCGCTTGAATACGGACTCCGCTTCAGTGATACTGCCACATTTTACCAAAGCATCGATTAGTGAACTAAGAACAAGTGAGTTGGAATGATACGACGCTGGCATTGACTTCAAAACTTCTCGGACCGATTGTAATGCTTGTTTTGTCTTTAAATGTGCACAAGCATTAAAAAAGAAGATGATGTTCACCTCATCAGGATCTTCAATTTTAACAAACAGGTCTATAGCCTTAGTAGCCAAACCATTCAGCACATAGCCTAAAGAAATGTTTTCTTTTTTCGTGTATGTTATATAGAAAAAGTCCTCTTCACCCTTCATCATAGCTCCGTACATTGGCGATGTTTTCCTTGGTACCGTTCCAAATAATTTTTCAGCATCTTCGACAGCTTTGCATTTCATCAATGCGTCTAGCAATGAGGTCAATAATCGAGGATTCGAATAATAGGATTTCGGCATTCTTCTCAATGCCTGCTTAGTAATATCTAATGATTCTTTCGTGCGAAGATGAGCACATGCATTAAACAGAACAATCATAATAACATCATTCGGTTCTCGAATTTGCTTGAAGAGATCAATTGTTTTATTCATCTGGTTATTCTCTACATAACCTAGAAGAAAAGATTGTGTTGAATAGAAGCCGATTAAATGATAACAATACTTACCCTTCATCATAGCACCATACATCGGTATTGTTTTATTGGATAAATCTTCGAAAATCGATTCAGCCTCAGTAACTCCGCCGCATTTCATCAATGCATCTAGTAATGAAGTTACTATGATCGGATTCATATGAAATGCTTTTGGCACGTGTTTGAAAGCATTTTGTGTCATAACTAAAGCCTCTCGCGTTCCTAATTGTGCGCAAGCGTTGAAGAAAAGATTCACATGCACTTCACCAGGTTTTTCCAATTGATTGAAAAGATCGATTGCTTTCATAGGTTCGTTATTCTCTAAATAGCCTGCAGACAAGATATAAAACATACACGTTGACATTCGAATGTTGTATATTACCTTTAATCATCGCACCATACATTGCTGATGTTTTCTTTGCAATTTTTCCAAACATTCTTTCAGCATAATCGACGTCACCACATTTCATAAATACATCCAATAGAGATGCTCTGATATATAAATTTGAATGAAATGATTTTGGCATTTTTCTCAAAATCTGCTTTGCTGAATCCGAAGCTTCAGGCGTACCCAATTGTGCACAAGCGTTCAAGAACAGATTCACAGCTATTTCACCAGGATTTTCGATCATATTGAAAATGTCAATTGCCTTTTGTGCATGATTATTCGTTAAATAACCTGAAGCGAAGAGTCTGATTTGAGACGATCATGAAGAAATCAACAAGTCATCACCTTTCATCAACGCTCCATACACTGGCAATGTTCTATTTGCTGTTTTCTCAAATAACACCTCAGCTTGCGCTACATCTCCACATTGCACTATTAAATCAACAATCAGACTATAAGAAAATTGACTGGCTCTCGAAACTTACTGTACATATGAATCAAGGAGACTAGTATGTACACATCCTTGTCGACACGAGAGAAAACCATTTCATGAATTACTTTGCCACGTTTGATGTCACCTAGATGCGCACATGCTTTTAATACTTGAGTGATAACTAAGTTGTAACATGTTTGAGCGCTGTTGTTTTTGTTGTGATGATCGAACAGTTCGAGAACTTTTTTAAACTGTTTGTTATCGTTGTGCAGTTTCATCTGTTTTCCTAATTCGAAATCAGACCGGAAATTGGATGCAGTTCGAAGGAAGATAGTGAACGACACTGAAGGAAAATTTGATAATTTTGTCAACATGAATAGAGATATGTGTTTGAAGAAGCTATGATGTTGCTTCAGGATCAGAATCGTCACGAAAATAAGAGTGAATAAAACGCTATTGATTAGCCACACTGAAGGCCGGAAATATAGTTTTCATTCGTCTGTTGAACTGAATAGAAGTAGTTAGTTGAACTACATTGGATATGATCGAATAGCGACATAGCTCAAACCGAAATTTATGACTCTTACATAAACGGCATAGATGAATCAGATCAAACCCGTATTATTTCTTTGTTGTGTGTAGTGCTGACATCTGCGAACATGGCTTAAAAGATGAACCTTGCTTGAATTTCAAATTCAAACGTATTTGTTTCTACAACTTTTCTATAATTACGTGAAATAAATTCGACTGTTGTTAATGATAAATGACAAATAAAAGCATTTTCCTAGCTATCTCTGTCAGATTGTGTGATAATCATCGGCCCCGAATAGGCGATAAACAATGAAATTCAGTTTCGGGCTTCAATTGATGCATGTTTTGAACTTGACAGAATGCTTTTGAGATTTCTGTCAGATATGGTTGAATAGTGATTGGTGAATAGGCTGCTTAGTACATCCAACACTACTTGAATAACTTTCAGTCAAAGCAAGAAAAATATCACAATGAACTTCTTGAAGTTTACAAGTAGTGAAAGGAAGAAAGAAGATAATTCTCATTGTATGGACTATCCTAACCAAACTTATATAACAAATTTTATTTTGTTTATCTTATTACAAGACAACAGAAGAAAAAAGAATCATCAACAAAATAATCTATATGCAGGCGATGGTCTTACAGGAAAAAAGCAAGCAAATTTGAGCCGAGATATTTTATACATTTTTCTCGCCCAAATCAGACAAAAAACAGGTTTTCATCTTTGGTTCTCTTTTTACAAAACACTCAGAAAAAAAGAAAAAGATATTGACTACGACTAGAACAAATTTTCTCCTGTATTAAAAGTAAATCCATATGGTACAAAGCACAAGACAGTGCTATTCCAAAGAACGTTTCGGCGTTGGCATACAAAATATGGGTACTTCACGAGCTTTCCATACTTGTGGGTCAATCGCTTGTGGAGTAAACATAACGTGTTGGGAAGACGAGTAATATCGAGTATTGTCATAGAGAAGTTCAAGAGACGAGTTACGTTTTTCATTATCCTAAATATTTGTGAATGAAACTAGTGATGTTCAACTGTCAATTCTGTTTACCATATAAATATCAATTTCATCGAGTAGTCGAAATGGTTGATAAATCGACCCCCACAGAGCAACCAGAAAGCAGAATGTTGATATCGAGCGTTCACCACCGGATAATGAAGCTACCCTTCGCTGATTCTTGTTGATCTATGCACAAAAAGAAGCAGATCTTTGGAAGAGATTTTCGTCAAGGAAACTTACAATAATTTCTAGTTCTTCACGTTTATGATCAATTTTAATATCACAATCGTTGAAATGATGTTTCTGCATCAAATCTTCAAATTTACGTCGGAGTAAAAACTGATGTTGATCAGCGATTCTACCAAAACGTTCCTTACGTTTATTGACAAACGTTTCAAGATGCTTAAAATCATAGAAAAACTTTCAATGACACATCATGTAAACGACGATGATCTCTACTTTTAGTTGTGCTTGGCATCGGTCACAAAGTTTTTTAAAAGTCGAAGCCGCATCTCGTTTGGTTTTGAATTCCTCAATAACTTGTCGACGTTGTTCTTGTCTAATTGAAAGAATTCAAGCGTTTTCATACGTGAAATAAAATTCAACTTACGTGTCTTCGTTCGATTTGAGAAAATGATTGATTCCATCGAGTTCGAGTTGGATCTCACGAACGGAACGGTTTGTTGACTTCAATGCTTTGGATTTCTAGATGATAAATCCAGTAACAATGTTATAGATAAATGATAAGCGTGTGATTTTACCTTAGGGAGTTTTTTGGATAGATCAGCTATTCTTTCTTCATACTTTTCAATGTCTTCATCCAATTGAGATGACTTCTTCGTTAATCGTGATATCTGTTGATTCATGTCATGATATTTCGATTGCTCTTCGACTATTCTCTCGTCAATATCCACGATTTCTTTCGTTTTCGACTCGACCTTTTTCATGATATTTTCGTACTTTTGTGTGATATCAGCGAGATCTTGATGTTTCGATTCTTTTGCTTTTATGGCTTCGTCAAATTTCGCCTTTGTTGATGTATAAGCGAGATTACATTCGTTCATCTTTTCTTCCAATTCTTCCGTAGTGAAGTCGTACGTGATTGGCATGACAGAATTTATTCGATCTAATTCCTGAAAATCAGAATATTGATTAGTTCAGTACACAAAGGAAAAAATTGATTTTACTGACCTTCGTCAATTCTTTCAGTTTCTTTTGATTTTCTACGCTTGATTTCTTAATCGTTTCTAATTCACTGACCGCTCTTTGTCGTTGTGCTTTTAAATCGTCAATCGATACATTCGTTTGATTGACTTGTTCCTGTAAATCTCTTATCTCTTTATTTAATTCTTCATTCGACAACGACTGTGTAGTATTTGATGAGAAGTATCGAAGCGGTTGTCGATCATTTGTGTAAATTCGAAACGCCTTGTCCAATTTCACGTTCGAACCATCGCATGTCCATGCTTCTACAACTCGTTTCACCTTGTTATTGACACTTTCCCAAAGCAGAGCACCAGTTCGTCGAAGTTGTTTTGCAGCTTCTAAATTCTCTATCAAAATCGTCGCTTCGATTTGCTTCAAATCGATCAGGGCACATTCAACCACAACATTCTCAATTTTCAGAACTTGATAAAAGGACAAAAGATTCGCACGGCTAATTCGTTCCAGTGTGCCAGATATATCTGGTGTTCTGTCTCGATATTTCATCGTGAAAATCACTGGACGATATCCACTTGCATAGGTTGTAAATAGTTCCAGTAAAATACGTTCATCATGATACTCCGAACAAATAAATGCTGACATAACCGATGCCAAATGTTTTTCTACAGCATAAGCCCAACGTGGTTCAGTACAACGTATGTATCGACCGATAGGTCCAATGGGTTTCTTCTTAAATCTGTTGTCGTTTTGAATAGCCTTTAGACAATCAGGCATCCATGCGCCATAAGCACTTGCTCGATCTTTTTCGAGTTTTTCCAATTCATCGAGTTCTTGTTTTTTTTGTCTCAGTTCGTTTTGAATGAGGTCGAGTGTTGACTTTTTAGTACGAATAGTTTCGTTTTTTGCATTGATTTCGTCGGTGTAGGTCGTCATCGCTTTATTCCATTGTAATTGTTGATTTTCACGAGTTTGAATTTCATTTTCAACTTGCAGACGTTCGCGATCGCTTTGATTCGACTCTTGGCTTAGATTTTGATGTTCATCCTATATGTCAAAGATGAATCGTATAATTCAAGTTGAAGGTATCGTATTTACCATATGTTTTTTCAAGCGCTTTTGCTCCTCTTCGATTTCAGTTAGCGATTGATAACATTTTTCACAGTCACGTGATAATCGGTAAATCAACAATTCAATTTCTTTCTTTTCTTTGGAAAATTGATAATTTAATTCCCGCAGACCGTTAGGACTGGAAAGATCTTTTTCCACGTCTTCTTTATCGCGCGAAAATTCTTTTATTCTTCGATCGAGATCGTTCATTCGGTTCTAAAGAAACAAAAAGCCAAAGCGCTCATCAAAATGACAAACGCTCTTCATTACCATTATTTCAGTGAGTCGCTTTTCTGTTTCATCTTTGCTCTTCTGTGTTTGATCTAGTTCATTCTTTATCGTCGACAATTCCTATAATCGAACATTATCATCCACATTGTCATTCTTTCAATCATCTTACTTTTTGAGCTTCGTTGCCACGTGCTACGATTAATTCTGCTTCTAATTTGTGCTTATTCTCTTCTTGGTCACGACGGATTTCAATCTTTTTCACTTGTTGATCTAATGGTTCCATTGCTCGAAGCATATCAACATGTTTCTAGAATTGATCGTTATCATTATCACATAAGTAAAGAGAGGATCGTACTTCTTTCATCTTATTTATTCGTTGACTAATTGATTGTACAGTACAAACGGCTTCTTCATAAGCTTGTTTGATCTGGTCCAGTTGAGACACTTTCATGTAAAACTAGAGCATAGATGTGTCGAATCAAGCTCGTGTGAATGATATCGCACTCACTTGATATTTCTTTCGAGCATCACTATTCAACAAAAACGTTTTGGCAATTTCTTGATGTAAAACACATAATGGATTTTCGGGTGAAATTGATAATGCTTGAATAATTTCAGCAACAGTTTCTTTTCCACTACCAATGATCTTACGATGCTCCCCTAGAAAAGAATAATTCTGTTCATTCATATCTTTTGAATCGATAATGATCACATGCAAACTTACCCAGTATTTTGTAGAACGATCGAGCTGCAGAGATCCTTCGTACGATCTGAATTTCTTTTCCATAAAGTTCAGGTTTATATGCTTCAGCACCTTCATTCGCTAACGTGATAGTCAATTCTGCAGAACTAAATTTATCGTCAAATTGGAAATGATGAAAGTATTGCTGAGATAATTGTGACATACGTTTCTCCTTTACGGATGAACGATTGGACATTTGCTGTTCGACCGGTTGTTCTTGCTTGAGCGCCCAGACAAAGACAAATGGCATTGGCTATGGTTGATTTCCCTGAACCATTTGCACCGGTAACGATTTGCATAGGAGTTGGATGAAATTTCATAGAAAAATTTTTATGACACATAAAATTGAGCATTTGGAGTTCTTTGATCTGGCCGATTGTATATGATTGTTTTTCTTTTGTTGTATCGGCTGTTTTCTTCTTTTTTACTGTGGAAGACATAGGAGACACGATTTGATTATTATTCAAATCCGATGTAGATTGAAATGGCCGTTTCGTATTATTCGCCATCTAAATGAAAGCTGTGTTCATTAGTCAATGTATATATCTATACCGGTTTCATTATCAGCTTGCAATTTGACACACTCATATGACTAATGATACATAAGAGTATACGGTTGAACTGATACGCGCTTATTTTAAATAGAGGATACCGCTTCTGACGAAAATGAATATCATCGATCAACGTCAGTAGATCGAACAACACTCAGCAGTGTGTATATTCTCTACCATAATTTTCGCAAAAAAAAAGAAGAAAGTGTGAACTACAGTAAATATTTACAAAGAAACGACTGTCATCATCTATGTGTGTGATCACATGACAGAAAGCATACCAATAGTTTTTACATGTGCGTGGCATGCCTAGATAGGTATTCGTAAATACCATAGGAATAGTTTACACGTCACCGATTGACTACGCACTCTACATATTGAAACAAACGGATGACAGTTTGTGCAGTATAAGCTAGTGGTACATGATCATGCTGATTAATATAGAAAATGTTTGAATAATGACGCACCTACGATGCATGTACAGTTCCAAAATGTTCGATGACTGGCTATTTGAAGAAAACTAGCTACAGAAGTTTTTTGTACAGTGAGATATGTTTGAGATCGAATCGAATTATCCATCTGTCAAAAAGGAGTGGACGTATCGTAGGAATAATTCCCCGGATGTATCTTGATTGGCTGATACTGATGTCTGATTTCGGACAAAGTAATAGTATAGATGGCGATAGTGTAACGTTTTGAAACGTCCGGTGAATTAATAGTTTTTTTAAAGTTATGTAGCCCACAACATGACTCAAAAAGTTCTAAAGAATTTATCACTCCTACGAATGTTCATTTGAACGTTAACTATATTGTATAAATATTTACAAAACTGTATAAAAATCTCTTAAATCTTCGATTTATCAACTAAGTAAAAGAAAAGCACATCACAGTTAACACCAACAACGAACGATGTGTAGACACGAATGTTCTTTTCAAAGATCCGGTCAAAATAGTACCAACCCTTGCTTTCCTTCCATGTTGTTCTGAGACCTAAGTGGACAATGTGTTTCCTGACATCTATGCAGCTGTTCATTGGACAACATACATATAATTGACGCGAACAACTGAACAATGTCTTTGTTCCGAAATCAGAAACGATTATTTTATTCTTCAACACTGTCATCGTGTCAATTTTCTGATAAAGTTACCATGTTTACTTCCTTTAACTGTACTGTGTTCGACATTCCGTTGACATGGGATCGGCATCGTTTTGAAGCATCACGTAATAAATGCCGACAAGCTCGAAAATTGATCGATGCTAGTGTTAATGGTAACTATGTCTTTTTATTTGATATTGACGAACTCTTCTTATCCACTTAGCGCAATTCAATAAACAACTTCGAGATGTTTTCTACGGAAAACTCGATATCGAAAAAAATATTCTGGAAAGTCAACAACGTCTGGCCAACCAAGAGAAAAAAGTTCGTGCGCTCGATAATCTAACTGAAGTAGCTGCACAATCATTGACTGATTACTTCGATAAGGTAATATATTTTCTTTTCAATCCGCTGATTTTAATAACGGTTGGCCTTCCACATGTAGCGAATGGAAACTGTCCGTGCAGCAATACAAGAACATTGTAATGCTATTCAGGAAATTCTTCGAGAAGAAAATGATCATTGGCAAGAAATTCACTCTGCTATCGATCAGTATGTTCTCGCACATTTTTTTGCATACACATCCTCCACGCTTCAATGTCTATAGGAATTTGATTACTTTGGATGATTTTCATCCACCGAAGAATACTGATCAAGAAACTCCATTAGCGAATATTCATACAATCGATGAAGTCGATGAAGAAGAACATACTTCGAAATTATTGGTAAGTAGTACAAATACAATACAAAATTTTGAATGATTCATTGTATGTTCAAATAGAATGATAAAACGGTGACACCACTTTTAACTCAAATGATTCGAAGTATGTTGTTCATCGAGGAATTGCTCTCTCCAATTTTGTTCGTTTGTAGAATCCCGATTGTTATCGAATCGTTCTTCGATAAGACGATCGAATCTTCCTCCATCAACAGAAAATTTGATTCAAAGCAAAGAGGAACGATTTAGTGTTATGCTTCCTTTAAATTCCGCACGCCGAACACTTCCTGTCGTCGATACAACATTTGTTGTGAAACTTGAAGATTCAAAATCAACTGAATCAAATCAATCACACCAAGTTGAAATGGAACAACCTGAACCTTTACCTGTGACGACCATTATTCCTATTGAATCTGTAGCAATGACAACGGTCACGCCAATCGAATCGATATCTACTGCTGAAGTGGAAGCATCGCCAAGTTATTCTCAGCCGAAACCACCAGCACGGTTGTACTTTTCACCAACACTTCTCTTAGATGATGGCGACTCAGAACCTGTACAGCCTGTTCTTTCGACTATTGATCAAAATCAATCAAGTAAGACATACATCACCTTCGAATATTGGATAATTATTACTTTATTTCGTAGTTAATATTAAACCAAAAATTGCAGCGCGTCGATTCGGTCAAACATTTTTACTTGACAATGTCAAAACCGAAGAAATCGATAAGAGTCAAGATACAGAAAACATTCGACCCAATATTTCAGACGAAATACCATTTCTTATTCATTCAGATCCGACATTGTTACCGGAGAAGCAAACTTTAAATGAGTCCAATCATCCTCAATTGGAGATTGCTGACATTCAGTAGGAGAAGCTCAATCATGAGTTTGTTCCTTCTAATGAAAATTTCTTTTCTCCCCCGTAGGAAATCCATTATTTACACGAAACGACGAACACATGCTGTTGCTGAACCAAAAGCTAATCCAGAACCTGTTCATATGACACGGCGTACAGCACGAAAACCAAAGCCAACAGTGGAAACTGAATCAATTAAACGTCCAGCTCGAAAGCGTAAACAATCGGTAGCGGATCTCGATGATGGAAACACGAATACCGTTGCTTTACCAAAGAAGAAAGCTAGTCGAGCTAAAACAAAAAGTACCACAAGAAAACCAAGAGCAAAAAAGGAGAAAGGTCTGTTTTCATTCAGCACCAGAGAAGCCAATCTCATCGTCTAACTCATTTTAGAAATACCGATTCGTGAACCATCACCATTACCAATTATCGATCGATCAAAACATTATTCAACACGTTTTTCTACACGTAACTAAAACTCTTACTGTTTCTACCTGTAGTCGCAAATCTATGCACATTTTAGGCTCGCATCGATTGAATAATCGAACTTTATCGACAATAGCTACGTTAAGCGAAGATGAAATTCAAAGCAAACCAAAACGATCTCGTACCAAATCGACAAAACATGATGCTGAGCCAGTCGTTAAGAAACCTCGTGCGAAAAAAGCTAAGGATGAAACGAAAACTCGCGCTAAATCAATGATTACTACACGGAATCGGAAGAAATAGGAATCATAATTAGAGTATAGATAGACATATTTGTATATTTTTTAACTTGTAAATAATCAAAGTAGTTTTGTGTATCGTGTATGAACTAAAANTAGAATTCATTTGTTTTGTTGTTAGTCTTTGGTGATGATGCATCTTAAAACAGGACAATGTATTTATATAGGATGCAAATTCAATTCGGAGGAAAGAAACTCATTAGTGGTGTATCGCTCGTCATAAAGGATCAAATCGGCATTACTCAAAGAAGTTCCTGCCATTTAGATAGCGACAGAAAATTTGGAGACTATGTATCTTTCGAAAGAAAAACTAACGACGGAAGAGAATGAAAGAGAAGAAAAAAAACTCGAATAGACAGGTGCCTTTTGCTAAATAAATGCCGGGACAGAGAAAAGTGATCAATCATTCTTCAATAGGAATACAGGATGACAAAAAACAATCCTCTTCGTTTTTTCCTCACTTTCTCTCTCTCTATATATATCATGTTTTTCTTATCGATCAACCTAGGTAGACGGAGATTTGTCACTTATATAAACATAAAAGAACAGAAATGAGATACAGTGATGATTATATTTTTTTGGTCGTCAATATTTATAATGACGAAATATGATTTTTTTATTTTTTTCTATGAAGAAGAACCGTCACTTGCATTCGTACTCGTCAACACTCAAAAGAGAATAAAAGAGTGAAAAGACTTTCTGTATAATTACTACCCAAAGATTCGAAAAAGATTTCTTTACTTTTATAGGAACTACCATTTGAATGTAATTGTGATGAATCATCTGTTTTGATCGGTTGACGATTGTTATTACGGCTGAAAAAGAGAAAGTCGACTATCAATCATCGAAATATTCGAGATCGAACTTTCGAACATACGTATTGTGTAGAAGCATTGCTGTTTCGACGCGTGTTTGATTGTGTGACGTAGTAGATGTAACTGTTTTCGTCGACGTCGATGAGTTTAAACTTGTATTTTGACAAGCATCTATTTCATCAACTAAAACGATAGTAACCCATTGAACTCATTTTTTTTCTTCTTCTTCTTTTCCTGTCGTATATTTTACACTCTTAAAAATTGAATCAACCACACGTATATGTGTGGAGAGAAAAAGAATATGTATATTTTAATGTATGTCCCGTTATCGGGCGATGACCGTGTTATTGTGTTCATTTTCAAGATTCGAACTTATTCAAGTGAAAACACATTGTTCTTTAATTTCGATATACTCACGTTGATGATTTGAGAGAAATGGTTCGATAAGATTCTTTTTCAAACGACGTTGTTGAAGATAACTGATGGGCTTGACATTATCATTCGATGGTTGAGTTGGTGAACTTGGTGAACGTATCCATGTTTTACGTCGTTTACAACGAACTCGTGTGATCGATATTGCTTCTTGACGTAATGTTGAACTTGTATTATTTAGATCGTCACTTGCACAGCTGTTTCGAGCTGCATCCGACGAGTACCTATGCAGACAAAACAACTTATCAGTAAAGAGTGACTGATACTTGATAATAAATCGATATAAAAGAACTATTGACATTTGATTGAAGTAGACTCAATCTACGCGTATATCAACAACACGCAAGATTTGAAAAACTGAACAAGGAAATTGACAAATGTGATTCTCATTAGAATAAGTTATGTAAATCAAATAGGTTCATTTCACACATTCTTATTGTCATAAATCTTTCCGCTGGAGCAGTCGACGAAGAAAAAGAACGGAACTTTTCACTTTACTGTTAACTAAATGATTGATATGTAAAATTATGAAAAGTAAATGTCACTTGTATATATATATGCTTAAAGAAAAGAATTGTAAAACGATCTGACTCTTCTTTTTTCAAATACAGTATATGTCTTCTCAATTTACATCTTAACGAGAGGAATACAACCTTGGCACATATGTCCATGAAGAATTACAAACAAAAATCGACAAATGAATGTATTTTCTCACTGATCTACTGCTTCGATAGAAGGTTGAATACAAAAGAAAGTCAACGATCCATTTTGCCGTCGAATGGCTTGAAGATAGATTACATTCAACTTACATGCAGATAGTCATGGATGTCTTTTTCCCTGAAGTGTATGTATGTTGAATGAAATTGGCTCGCTTGGACTTTCTTTTTTTTGTCCGATTGAGCGTGTGTTTCGCCTACTTCAATCAACTGTTGACAGTGTGCCGAGGAAGAAGTAATTTCACTCTTTGCGTTGCATCACACATACATACAACTAGGACTATACTACCGTTGGCTATTATTAAAACGAAAAGGCTCTTTTTTGTGGGTTGTTTCATGTATGTATAGGTAGATATATGTGTGTACACATACGAAAACAAAACAGAGGACAACGANTAGAATTCATTTGTTTTGTTGTTAGTCTTTGGTGATGATGCATCTTAAAACAGGACAATGTATTTATATAGGATGCAAATTCAATTCGGAGGAAAGAAACTCATTAGTGGTGTATCGCTCGCCATAAAGGATCAAATCGACATTACTCAAAGAAGTTCCTGCCATTTAGATAGAGACAAAAAATTTGGAGACTATGTATCTTTCGAAAGAAAAACTAACGACGGAAGAGAATGAAAGAGAAGAAAAAAAAACTCGAATAGACAGGTGCCTTTTGCTAAATAAATGCCGGGACAGAAAAAAATGATCAATCATTCTTCAATAGGAATACAGGATGACAAAAAAACAATCCTCTTCGTTTTTTTCTCTCTCTCTCTGTATATATCATATTTTTCTTATCGATCAACCTAGGTAGACGGAGATTTGTCACTTATATAAACATAAAAGAACAGAAATGAGATACAGTGATGATTATATTTTTCTGCTCGTCAGTATTTATAATGACGAAATATGTGTTTTTTTAATTTTTTTCTGAGGAAGAACCGTTGGTTGCATTCATACTCGTCAACACTCAAAAGAAAATAAGAGAGTGAAAAAATTTTCTGTATAATTACTACCCGGAGATTTGAAAAAGATTTCTTTACTTTTATAGGAAGTACCATTTGAATGTAATTGTGATGAATCATCTGTTTTGATCGGTTGACGATTGTTATTACAGCTGAAAAAAGAGAAAGTCGAATATCAATCATCGAAATATTCGAGATCGAACTTTAGAACATACGTATTGTGTAGAAGCATTGTTGTTTCGACACGTGTGTGATTGTGTGACGTAGTAGATGTAACTGTTTTCGTCGATGTCGATGAGTTTAAACTTGTATTTTGACAAGCATCTATTTCATCAACTAAAACGATAGTAACCCATTGAACTCATTTTTTTTCTTCTTCTTTTCCTGTCGTATATTTTACACTCTTAAAAATTGAATCAACCACACGTATATGTGTGGAAAGAAAAAGAATATGTATATTTTAATGTATGTCCCGTTATCGGGCGATGACCGTGTTATTGTGTTCATTTTCAAGATTCGAACTTATTCGAGTGAAAACACATTGTTCTTTAATTTCGATGTACTCACGTTGATGATTCGAGAGAAATGGTTCGATAAGATTTTTTTTCAAACGACGTTGTTGAAGATAACTGGTGGGCTGGACATTATCATTCGATGGTTGAGTTGGCGAACTTGGTGAACGTATCCATGTTTTACGTCGTTTACAACGAACTCGTGTGATCGATATTGCTTCTTGACGTAATGTTGAACTTGTATTATTTAGATCGTCACTTGCACAGCTGTTTCGAGCTGCATCCGACGAGTACCTATGCAGACAAAACAACTTATCATTAAAGAGTGACTGATACTTGATAATAAATCGATATCAAAGAACTATTGACATTTGATTGAAGTAGACTCAATCTACGCGCATATCAACAACACGCAAGATTTGAAAAACTAAACAAGGAAATTGACAAATGCGATTCTCATTAGAATAAGTTATGTAAATCAAATAGGTTCATTTCACACATTCTTATTGTCATAAATCTTTCCGCTGGCGCAGTCGACTAAGAAAAAGAGCAGAACTTTTCACTTTACTGTTAACTAAATGATTGATATGTAAAATTATGAGAAGTAAGTGTCACTTGTATATATACGCTTAAAAAAAAAAGAATTGTAAAACGATCTGACTCTTCTTTTCTCTAATACAGTATATGTCTTCTCAATTTACATCTTAACGAGAGGAATACAACCTTGGCACAGATGTCCATGAAGAATTACAAACAAAAGTCGACAAATGAATGTATTTTCTCACTGATCTACTGCTTCGTTAGAAGGTTAAACACAAAAGAAAGTCAACGATCCATTTTGCCATCGAATGGCTTGAAGATAGATTACATTCAACTTACATGCAGATAGTCATGGATGTCTTTTTCCCTGAAGTGTATGTATGTTGAATGAAATTGACTCGCTTGGACTTTCTTTTTTTCGTCCGATTGAGCGTGTGTTTCGCCTACTTCAATCAACTGTTGACAGTGTGCCGAGGAAGAAGTAATTTCACTCTTTGCGTTGCATCACACATACATACAACTAGGACTATACTACCGTTGGCTATTATTAAAACGAAAAGGCTCTTTTTTGTGGGTTGCTTTGTGTATGTATAGGTAGATATATGTGTGTACACATACGAAAACAAAACAGAGGACAACGAAAGAAAGAAAGTTGTGCTGCCGTTGACATAAACGACATACTAAGGATGTAATAGAAGGAAGAAATAAAAAACATGTCTTTCTAATCCGCCTGAGCGGATGTATGTTAAAGAGTGTGATGAAAATAGGATGTGATCTTCTTTTCGTGATAGGAAAGTGAGTTCGATCTTTATTTACGATTTATCTCGTTTGAAAGATGTAATCGAAGGTTCAAAATGTTCGATTTTATTTGCTTGAATAAATTTTACACTTCGAAAGAATATGTAAATTCAATGTATCGATTGACTCTCTTTCTTTCGTATGCGCATAGAAGAAGAAAATCGAATCACCTTGATCTTCATAGTTGTCATTACTTATTTGATTCAGATAAGTCAGTCAATATAATGAGAAGCCTAGTTTAGTCTTAAATCGTTCCAAGGACAAACAGGTCGAGTGTCCAAAAGGCTTCTTGGAATAATTAACTTACCGTGGATCATCAGAATAATTTGATTCATCTGAATAATGTCCATCATCGTTGTCATCATTGTCATGTTGTGTCATTGCTTCAATACAGTTAATCATTTGAGTTGAATGAACAATTGCTTGTTGGTTCACTCTATTCTGATCATTAATGTTATCATTTGTTCGTTGCTTCTCTTGTTGATTTTGTTGATCATGCTGAATAGACGATGTCATCGGTTTATTTAATGAGACGTCGTCTACATTTGACCTTATCGTCTTGTTTGGTTCAGGAGGATGATTAACGTTGTCATAATCGGATAAGCAATCTTTTCCTTTGACAACGGTGTATTTTGTTGCATGTACAACGCCGGAAAAATCAGGTTCAGGTGGTGTTAAACTAAGCCGTATTCGAATAATCTGATCATCATCATTAGTTGTCGGATTTTCATTGCTAAAAGACACAACATTAACATTTGACAAATAAATCCTGGATGATCATGTTCGATTCGTGATAGAAAGAAAAAACAAGAAGAACTTACTGTAAGTCGATTGGCATAATGATATCATATGTATCGCCATAATCTTTAACCGCTTGTGTTATGGCTTCCGAATTATCTTCAGTATCGGATTGAAAAACAGTTGTATCTGAACAAACGCTAATATCATGTTGTTGATGTGTTAATCGCGCTGGAATATTCGAGGTTATTGTTGTTAAAGATAATCCATCGTCTAGTCGTGTGGTTTCTTCGGGATAGAAGTATGTATTCTCAAAATCAATACTATTCGTCTCTTGTGGCTCGGTCGGTTGTTCTTCCGAAAAACTTGTTATTGCTGTTATAGCCATGGTTAAATGATTCGATAATGAACTTGTGCGTACACGTTTTGATAGCAATGAGCTATAACGATTGAATCGTTTCTGATCGTTTGATCCGAAAATATTTCCACTGGAAAGACTTCGACGTTTGCTGATTGAATGCTCATTAGCTGATGAATTCATCATTGTACGTGATAGTGCACTCCCGTAGGATTCACCTTTACTGAATGTTTGTTGTAATGTATTCGCAATCACTGATTGTAATGTTTCAGCTGATGATGAATTTAAAAGGACTAAAGGATGAAAGATGATAATAGGTGGATTTAACAATCAGCGTTAAGTTTACCTTTATCTTGTGCTTTCTTTTCCGCATCATCGAGATGATTCTTATTCTCGAAATAATCGATACGTTCTTGCACGTCATGCAATGAATGTGTTCGAACAGTTGGTTGAGAATCGAATAATAGTTTCATCGGAGTCTGTTGATAGATCGTTGATGTTTTCTTTTGAAAATTTAAACGATTTTTAATTTCATGAACACGATTTGCTCTTGATGAATGATATATAGTTGAATAACAAAATGGTGATGTTGATGATGACGATGATGAACTTGGTAATGTATAATATTTTTCTGTCATCATCATCGGAATAGTAATCGGGTTCAATTATAATACACACACACACACATACACAAACGAGAGAAAACGGTGTTAGATTGCCGGGTTGAGATATCTATCTTGATGTGTATAATGTATGGTCACCTCCTCTTTTCGGGTTATTAGCGATTGAAATGTACGAATGAGCAGCTACACGAGTTTCACACTAGCGTTCTTTTGAATCGTTATTGAACGAGAATAAAATCTAAATGGTGATGTAAAACACGGAACAATAGTACGGTGATGAGTGTGTATGTGTGAAAATTAATCAATTATCTATTTGAGCAATTGAGCGAGAACGAAGAAAAATTGAG